GGTGGAGCTTGTGATGAGCTTCGGCCGCAGCTCGTCGCGGCTTATGGCCCGCGACTCAGCGTCCCCATTCACAGCAGCCATGTCGTCCAGTCCACATGTGAAAGCGGATTGCGGGGTGTTATGGCGGGGGGGTTGCCGGCGAAAGTATCGCGAAGGTGCCAAGAGGTCTCGTTTTTTTGCTAGGGCGATGACATCGGAGAGTGGAGCACCATTCATCACCCAACCCAACCCCCACTGGCACTTTCGCCCTCGACAACCACTTGACTGCCTCTCCTGGAACACTGCGCCCTTATGCGTCCCACCAGCTACGACAATCCACCCAACCTTGATCTCGCCCGGGATCAAGCTCCGATATACTCCATACGGAAGCCCGCCTGAGACCCCTGCACTCACATTACAACCACTCAACCAAACTCCGAGTTTTAGCCATGGCGAAGAAAAAGAAGCCCGCCGGCAACCCCGCTCGAGGCTTCGCGACCACGTCGGTTGCGAGCAAGCCCAAGCCAGAAAAGATTGCTGCAGACGTCCCAGCCAAGCAAGTCGTTCAGGCACCGGATAAGGAAAGCGCGACTGCACCAGAGCCCACACATGCGCCGACGACGTCCCAGACGGCTGAAGCGCCCAAGCCAGAGGTCGCACCCACTCCCGAGGAACTCGAGGCCCAGCTAGAGCGCGATGAACTCCAACTGCTTGTTGAGAAGCACGCACCCAAGGTCCGCCGTGAATCTAGTCGATATGTCTCCAAATTCCAGACGGACCGTAGGCTCCTCCGCAGCCAGTCGCATGCCATGACGGTCCACGATTGGCTTCCCAGTGAGATCTTAGATAGCATTATTCTCCTAGCCCAGGCAGAGTCGAACGACTCCAACAGGAGGCAGGGACAGCAGTCCCTTCTCAAGACCCTGACTGAAGAGGATGCCATGTCCAAGCTTTGGACCCTTGATCTTACCCTGCGTGAGCTAGGTTTCTCTCAGGATCATATCCAGCCCGTCTTGAGATGGCTTTGTGCCAATGCTGCAAGTATTGATGCGTCTTCTGGTATCTGGGGTCTTCAAGAAGCGCTAGAGTGGCTTGCTTTGGACCAATGCGAGGACCACTCTTTCTCATATGAAGAATCGCAACCCAGACGGTCAGGACTCGAGTCCCTTGATGTTTCTCGACCTCCGACACCGCCGCCTCAGCCGTCCACCAACGGAAACACCATGTCTGGAGCCTCACCTTCCGCACCCGTAAAAGCCCCAGCACCGGCAGAGTCTAGCCAATCGGATGTCTACGTCAGTGACCTCGATAGCGACCTTGAGTCCGACGAACTTATTCCTGCGTATCTGAAGATCAAGGGCAAGCTGTTTGAGATTGATCCACAGCTCGTCGATGCGTCCACACGGAAGCCAAAGGGATCTAAATCTAAGAAATCCGCGCCTGTGCCTACGCAAACTCCAGCTGTTCGGAAACTGCTCTCCCAGTTGCAGCAAATTACGTCTGATCCTCTCTTTGACGAATACCAAGCTGAAGCGCAGTGGCCCGCAAAGCGTAATCAAATCGCACAGAGTCAAGCTGAGAAGAGGCAACAAAATGGCTCACAGTCTAGTAATCCTCGAGTGCAAGATAATGACACCACTTTAGATCTTCCAGTATCTGCAAAGGTTGAAGCCAGTCCTGTACCAGCAGCTTCCCCAAGCGAGCACGATGGTGAAGAGGACGCTGATCTACTAGGAGGCATGTTTGCAGTACCCGATGCAACGTCCGCTCCCGAGCCTACGCCCAACGGCACAGATTCCGACAATATAGCACTACGTGACTTTGGCAAAATGAGTGGAGTGTCTCCTCGCAAAGTGCTTGAAGAGGCCATGAGATCAAGGTTGGTTTTCTAATTACCCTGCAGACATTGACTAACAACCGCAGGGATGCTGGAGCGCGACTATCTTACAAAATGGTCTCACCCACAACGTATACTTGTCGGCACTCGGTGACCATCACCTGGTCGAAGGAACAAGACATCGAGTACGACATCGATATTGCTGGGGTCGTTTGTACTCCGTACCGGAAGCAGATCATCCTCGAGGCGACTGAAATCGCTGCTGTATCGGTTGAGCAAAGTGAAAGCTTCATCTCTGTCGCTGCACTCTTCTCAATCTCTGCTGCTCTACCAAAAGAAGAGAAGGTTTACATCCGGCTTCCGTCTAATTGGAGAGACGTCTACAAGGAGTTCTTAGAGCGCCGCAAGACGCGCCTGGATGCGGAAGATCGTGATGCTATCAAACATTACCGTTCGATCATCGAGGATCAGATCGAGAACGAAGAATCAGATGGTGTCGTGCTTACAAATCGCTTTAAGATGCGTGCTCAGGCGGCTACAAGCTCGAGCGCATCGAACTCTGGCTATAGCACGCCGGTGCGACATCACGACGGTCTGAGAGAATTGTGGGCTGCAAAAGCTTCAACTTCATCATACCAACGTATGCTTGTTGGACGAATGAACCTCCCAGTCTTTAATTTCAGAGACTCTATCTTGTCAACAATCGACAAGAATCAGGTTACAATCATTTGCGGTGAGACTGGCTGTGGAAAGAGTACACAAATTCCGGCTTTCGTCCTCGAGCACGAGCTCTCAAATGGCAGGTCATGCAAGGTCTATTGTACAGAGCCAAGACGTATATCTGCAATTTCGCTTGCGCAACGTGTGAGCGAGGAACTTGGCGAAGGATCCAAGGACCTTGGATCAATGCGCTCACTTGTAGGATATGCAATTCGCCTTGAATCAAAGACGTCTTCACAGACTCGCTTGATATACGCGACTGTTGGTGTGGTATTGCGAATGCTAGAATCATCTGGAGGTCTACAAGAGGTCACACATTTGGTCATCGATGAAGTCCACGAAAGATCCATCGACACAGATTTCCTTCTTGTTATTCTTCGGTCACTCATGGAACGCCGGCCTGAACTCAAGGTCATATTAATGAGCGCTACGGTAGACGCCGCAAAATTTTCAAGGTATCTTAACGACGCGCCAATCCTCACAGTACCAGGTCGTACCTTCCCAGTTCAGACTCGATACCTGGAGGATGCGGTTGAGTTGACCAATTATACTGGAGCATCTGATGTGACCAAAAACACCGCTGCAAGCGATGACGACGAGGGCGACGATATCACGAGCGATAAATCCGGTATCCCCAGCAAACTACCAGGTTACAGTCCGGCCACACGTAGTGTGCTCTCCGCGTATGACGAGTACGCCATTGATTACGATCTGATCACTCGTCTGGTTGAAACAGTCGCGTATGATTCGCAGCTGAGCCGCTTCAGCAGTGCCATCTTGGTATTCCTTCCGGGTATCGCTGAGATCCGCCAGCTCAATGACATATTGGTCAGCCACCCCTCATTCAAGGCCGATTGGTATGTGTACCCGCTACACTCCACCATCTCAAGCGAAGACCAACAGGCCGCATTCCTTGTTCCACCTCCAGGCGTACGCAAGATCGTGCTTGCTACGAACATCGCTGAGACCGGAGTCACAATTCCGGACATCACCTGCGTCATTGACACAGGTAAGCACAAGGAGATGAGGTTTGACGAACGCAGACAGCTATCACGCTTGACACAATCATTCATATCAAGAGCCAATGCGAAGCAGCGACGCGGTCGTGCTGGCCGTGTACAGGAAGGTCTATGCTTCCATCTCTTCACAAAATATCGCCACGATAACCTCATGGCGGAACAGCAAACGCCTGAGATGCTGAGGCTTTCACTCCAAGATTTGGTCATGCGCGTGAAGATCTGCAAGCTGGGTGATATCGAGGCTACCCTTGCTCAAGCACTCGATCCACCCACTTCGAGGAACATTCGTCGTGCTATTGATGCACTTGTAGAGGTCGATGCGTTGACGCCGAGCGAAGAGCTGACACCTCTTGGTCGTCAAATCGCAAAGCTCCCATTGGATGCACACTTGGGCAAGCTTGTACTTCTTGCAAGCACATTTGGTTGTGTTGACGTTGCTATCACCATTGCTGCCATTGTGTCTTCCAAGTCACCCTTCTTGACACCATTTGGAGCAAAACAACGAGCTGACATCGCTCGCCTCGCATTCAAAAAGGGCGACTCCGACCTCCTCACCACATACAACGCCTATAGAGCCTGGAAAGCAGTCTGTACTACACCGGGACGATCTGAAATGCAATTTTGCCACAAAAACTTCCTGAGTCCGCAAAACCTTGGGAACATCGAAGACCTCAAAGCCCAACTCTTCTCCTCACTAGTCGATGCAGGCTTCATCCAACTCACGCCCGACGAGCGCCGCGCTACGAACCGCTACCGCAACACATCCCGCCACCGTGTCTTCGTCGACATACCACCCCAATACGACATCCACACCGACAACGACGTCCTGGTAAACTCCGTCATCGCAACGGCCTTCTACCCCAAGATCTTGACCCGCGAAGGAAAAGGCTGGCGCAACATTTCCAACAACCAAACCGTTTCCTTGGGCCCAACTTCCGTTAACAAGGGTAGCCAAACCGCACACTTCCTTTCATACTACAACATTATGCAATCCAGCAACAAGTTCTACAACGCGCACTCTACTTCCATTGCGTACCCGCTTCCCATGGTCCTCATGGTCGCAGCAGACAATGCCATGGATTTCAAGTTACATGCCGGTGTCATCAGTCTGCCTGGCAACGTCCTCCGTTTTGCAGTGAGGGAGTGGAGGGCGGCTGTTGCCCTCAAGGTGTTGAGACGCCGCGTCAAGGAGATTTTGGCAAATAGCTGGAAGAATCCGAGTCGGCAGCTGAGTGATCGGGAGAAGGAGTGGTTGGGCTTGTTTTATAAGATGTTTGAGGAGAGGTTTGAGAAGGATGAGAGGATTAGGGAGAGGGGTGGGGGGAAGGCGAAGTGAGTTGATGGATGGATGGATGGATAGAGGTAGAAGCTAGGTTGGTGTGGCTGTGGTATAGTAGAATGTAATAGCATGGCCTGCTATGAAGACGTCATCATTCTCAATGAAATCAGACATCTATTTCGCCTAATTTTCGGCCTTGAGTCAAAATCCCATTTGTACCCCAGAACAAAGAGAGCATTGTAAGAACAACAGTGACCGGTACCGATGCGTTCTGCAAATCACCTGGGTGTGTAGCTTGCCACCAGCCCCAGAAGCCGAAAGGAAGCGCAAGGATAAGAAGGTGATAGAAGGCCACGTAGGCGGCCGAAATCTCATGTCTCGCTTCTAGTCCCCAGGCATACGCGTTCTTGTCGTCTGTGCATGATGTATTGAAGGGGTACTTCCTTTTTGGGATGCGATTGATTGCGCGCTTTGTGTGTAGAGTTGGTAGACATTCGTGCAGTAGTTGTCCGAGTATTGGCGTGTATTTGGACAGCTTTGACCAACGACAAGAATCGCCACATGAATTGAGATGCATCGAGAATTCGTGTCGTGATATAGGAGGATTCTGTGCATCTGGGTGGCGAGGATCGTATTCGTAGTCATTACCCACGGGTAGTTCTTTCTGTTCTCTGAACACGTAGTTTGGTCTGTAGGTTTGGAACTAGGCGTACTGTGTCAGTTGCCGTCCGTGTCTACTGAGGTGTGTTACTCACCTTGACAACCTCGCAGTATCCTAGGCGCCAGAATGAGAACCAGTACCTGAGTCTGCCACGATTGAGCCTGTAGTACTTTTTCAGTTCATCGTAGAAGTTGCTGTCGTTCATCGTATTATCGACGCTGATTTGCTCCAATTTCAATGCTGGGTGGGGTCCTCTCACTCCGAACAGTATCCGTGGGTCATCAAGAACAGCTTGTTGTACCCCGGCAGCTTGTGCACCGGAACTTGCTAGTTGGTTCGTGGTTTGAGCGGGCTTTGGGGAGTTATTTAGGCTAACTGCAACACCGGCACTTTGCAGGCCCTGCGCTACATTGCTAGGAGCTGCTGCCACATTGGAAGGTGTATATCTCACACCTGCAGTTGACTGGAGTGTCGCTGATCTAGTGAACTTTCCGATAAGGGAACTGAAGCTTCCACCCTGTTTGCATCTGTGTAGCAGATTCGAGTCACTAATTCCGTAAGGAAGCATAGGCTTGATGAGGTTTAATTCTTCAGTGGGGACCTCTTGCCAAAGTCGCGTACCGCAAGTCTGCATCTTATTAGCTGAAGCTGTCCCGTAACATTTCAACTTACGCAACGCCAAAGCAAACGCGTCTCATTCGAAGACATATCCCTCATTCTTGGCTCTAAAGGCCACCAATTCCATTTTAGCATGGTAAAGTCCTCGATAAAGGCCTTGGTTTGATTGACCAGGGAATTGTTATTTTGTTCTGAAAGTGACAAAGAGCCGTACAAAGCTGTTTGTACAATGTCTTTGAGTGATTGCGGAAGGATTTGCATCCTGAGATCGTTGAGTAATGTCTGGAAAGGTTCTGATTGTCGGAGGGTATCACCAAGATGATTCTTCTCGTTGGCTTCTCTCATTGCCATTCCATATTGGAATCTTTCAGAGACGATGATTTCAGCAATGCCTTCGCATATCTTCTCTCTGTCCGAACGGCTTTCCAGTAAGCGAGCAATTGGTTCTTCCGGTTGACTTTTGGCGTTGTTCACTAAACTCAGGTGTAGGTCTTTTAGCCCCTTCCTTACGGCTTCAACGAATTGCTCTTGATCCATTCTTTCTAGTAACTCTGCAAACACTGTACGCGTATCCCTATCTTCGGTCAGAATACGGATGATGTAATCGTTCGCTGATTCCCCACGTGCAGCGACCTTTTGCGGTGCTATGAAGTTATCATCGAAAGGTCTTCCTATCATCTTGGGGTTAGTCTGCAAGGCCAACATATGAGCATCCCACCCATGAACCTCGCTCGCTAAAGTGTAGCTATCTAGAAACTGCTTCAACCCATTCCTGACCACGGCAATTTCCTTCCCGGTGGGAAACAATACATCCCCTTTTTTAGACACTGATGCCATGAAACCATCATTGTGTCCCAAAAACTCCAGAGGAACAAAGAAATGCTTCTTGACCTGTCTTTTCATTGTGCTTTCTTGCAGGTCTATTGAGCAGACCCAAAGATTGTGATTCAGATACACAATGCTATGCTCAAATATTCCCAGAAGATGTTTGATCTCAATCGAAGAAAGAACGAGGCTGGGTTCGATACTTGCGCTTTCCTCTTGAGATGCTGAATTGTCCGCCTGCCAAACTATCAATCTCTCAGTCGCTTTCGAATCCAGTTGATGCGAAAACTCCGCGATGATATTAGTGCCAGTAACGTCGGTTTCAAGAGCCTTCAGTACAACGTCGCTTCCAGTGAGACTCGTGGTACTGATCTTGATCTTCCGAGGTGGATCCGTAACATCTAGCTCATCTAGTGTGTCCCAGTTGAATCGGCGGATAGTCTGGTCGACGAACAGAAGAAGTGTACCTGATACTCTGATGGACGACATCCACCTCCAGGCGAATCTAGATGGGGCTTCCAGAACTTTCGCTCGTTTAAAGGTGCTAGTTTCGCTTCGTATCCATAACTGGTCGGTCGTAGCAGTAGATATAAGGAGCCTATCTCCCGCACCATTGATCAGGAGTTGTTCCGCTGGTTCTTCCATGTGCAAGTCCATAAGCTTCTGAGTTGCACTAAAGTGATTAGGCAATTCTTGATTCAGCCTATATGCCATGACCTTGTTGCTTGCATCTTGAGAAGCGACAATGTCTCCAGCGCTGACTGTGATCCTCCTTACATAACCATCTAGTTTGTGGGTGTAGATGACATCTTCCAGCCCTCCTGATACTCCTGAATAAACATTCACAGACCCATCCTCTTTACCCGCAAGGATGACGTCTCGGGTTGGGTGTATACAAGTGGCTGTGATGGGCACAACATCTTCCTCGTCCCCAAAGGCTACTCCCAGTACAGGTAGAGTTGCGGAAGAGTTTTCATCATAGGTGTCCTTGCGAATAAGAGTAGCGGACTCCCAAACTTTAACCCTATGGTTCTGCAGATCGATGATTCGAGTTCCACAATCCGTGAACGCCAAGGCTCTCCCCAAAGGCTCCCGCGTTTTGATTTGCCATAGCAAGGTCAAGGTTTCAAAATCCCATAGTCCTATCACGCCCGAATTTGATCTTGTTGCGAGTATTCGCCCGTCAGGTGAACACGCTATGTACTGACAGTCTTGTTGGTTAGTCTTCACGACTTCTGGCGCCCATGCTGTTTCGTAGAGAACCATAAGGCCATCCTGGAAAGTGACCACCATTAAGTCAAGAGCCGGATTTTTGTTGAAGATGATGTTATTTGGGAAAGATTCGCTGGTCATAAAAGAAGAAGTAACTTCTTCATTCCAACCTTCTAGGAAGTTTTCATCATCCAGGTGGTCAGGAAGATACCATGCAGAAGCGCCTTCGCCAGGGTGAGTGAACGCTACCATACTACAATCTGGAGAAATGGTAACGCTTAGTGGCGCCTTACTACTGGGAAAGGAATGGTCGCAAAGGGTGGTTCCATCGTCACAGCTTAAGATGATGACACGGTTGCTCTTCGTAGCGACAATCAAGCGATCATCCTGATCGAACTGAAGGAGTATGGGGTTTTCTTTGATGTTGTAAGTCCAGACTAGCGACTCGCTCTTGAGATCCCAGAGACGGATCATATGAGCACCAGCTGAGGCGAGTTTGTAACTGTTCCCAAAGTGCAGGACTTTTGCGGACTCTCCATGATCGAGTGACATACTTTCTTGACAGGTGTCTTGCAAGTAAAGGATTATCCGTCCTGAAGACGTACCAATAGCGAACTGATATGGTCCAGCGGCAATAGACATTGCACAATCTTGTTGGAAATCGATGTGGGATACAGAGTCCTCCCAAGCGCCATTGCCGACTCCAGAAACGCTCAAATCACTGCGAACAACACCAAATTGCTGGTTGATTGCGGAGTCTCGCGGGCATAATGGCGGGATCAGACCATAGATTGAATCCGGGTTGTCTAACAAATAGCGACCAAATTTAGCGGTGATTCGCATCAAGTCTGTCGCCCATTGACTGACGTAATGGTCCGCCGCACTGAAAGGTGGTATATGGTAGGCCCTACGACTGAGATAATATTGTAGGTTCCTAGCCGTCTTCGTCAGATGATGAAGGTTCTTCTTGGTCTTCGCGATGTACTCGATCCACGTCAGGACATTCGATCTCAGAAACTTCTCTAGCTCCAGAAACAGAGCAGTGTCGGAGGAGGAGGACCTTACTAGATGCTCCGAGAACGAGGCGCATGCGTAATCCGCTATTGGGTTCTTGGCGCTTCGCGGGATTTCAACGAAGGCCCAGTTGCGAGGCGACCTCATCTTTCCCCCACACAGATATTCAAGGCAGACGAAAGCGAGTCGTCCGTGTCCTTCTATTTTCGAGATCGCAAACTCTGATTTCGACGAACCATCAGTCAGAGCTGTACGCAGGGTTCTGTGCACTAATTGGACATGCCCAGTGTTGTCGACATGGAGAAGCTGACCGCAAAGAAAGCGGATCACACCCTTCAGGTCTGGTACCTTCGCTCCTATGTCAATCTCAATGAATTTGACGAGTTCGGAGATGTGCAATGGGCGAACAGCACAGATGGCCCAGACAAGTAGAGATTTCGCGAGTCGCGTTCGACGCACGCTTTTCGACATCTCACCAAGGATTCGTTCGTACAGAAGACCCATCTCCATAGGTAGCCCCTCGATGACTTCTTCGATATGTTCTTCGCTATACACCGACTCGAGCCCTTGTAGTACCAAGCGTGCCCACAAAAAGCAACCTGCCGATTCGGTAACCAGTTTCTCAACCATAAGCCGCTTATCTGCTTCCTCTTCGACGGGAAGATGGTCCATATTCTGTTCGAAGAAAAGTCTGATATCATGTGTTGTGTCTTCCACAGGGATCGTATCAGTCATACCTCGATGACCGAGGCGGGCGAATTGTCGTTCAAAATCATGCCAAGGCCCTCTACTGGTGATGAGTATCTGAACACCGTATCTGCATTCTATCCGCGAAAGTAAAGAGAACAGTTTCATGGAGTCGATACATTCATCCAATGCATCGATAACCCAGTATTCCGGTCTCTCAAGGCTGGTCCTAAAGATAGCTCCAACAAACAACACTCTCCATACCGAGTCCTCGTGTTCTTTGTCGAAGGCAATACCGTTCTTTTGCAAATCGAGCAGTTCCTTGCGTACAATCGGGTGCATAATGGCCATCTGGAGGGCCATGGACCGTAACATGGCACTCATGGTGTTTTTCCCCTTTTGAGAGTGTTTGAAGAAGTAGTAGCTACAGTCATGACCTCTTCTTTGGAGTTGCTTGATAACATGACCTGCTAATACAGTTTTTCCCGTTGCTGGCGGCGCGGAGATCCAGTATAGAGGTACATATGGTGGCCGTGTAAGCGTTCCAGTCCATGCTTGGAAGCCCTTGCGCTTCTCAATCCAAGAGCATGACCCTGTGATCTGATTATCCTGCTCTTTGTTGAGCTCGTCAATAGGTGTATCCATCATGTCAAGATAGGTTTTTAGAGCCGAAATCTGAGCATCCCTCTTTATTGCGTCACCAAGTATGTCCTCAGCTATACTTGCTATGGCGTTCTTGACCGTGATATAGTTGGTGTCATATATGCTGTCGAATTTGCAGACCATGCGGTGGTCGGCATTGAGTGGATGTACGCGTTCGTGTTTGACACCCATTGAGGCAGAGTCTTTATCAACGATTAACTCAGATTGAATCCCGAGGTTGGTTTCGATGGTTTCGTAGAAAGACAGGATGCGAACCTCGCCCGCGTAGTGTCTGAACTCATCGTTGATTTTGTTGAGCTCGACTGATGTCTTCTCAAAATCAGACAAAGACGAATTGTAGTTGAACCGACCAGAAGCTCGGAGTATTTTACGAACAGTCGACGCTAGTCCAGCATCTCGCTGTGGTGTCGCAAGAAAGATGAGACATTTAACACGAGCAGCGAGAGCCTGGGTCGCGGCGCCCCTCCAAGCAAGTGTATACGTCTTCTTAATCACTATGTGTAGAATAGTCAGCAAAGCGATCATATGTGCCTAGATTCCATCATCTAAGGTTGCGTTTACCTAAGCCGCCTATACTATGTCCTATCATGATGATAGGCAGATCTTCCTGCGTCCTTTGGGATACATTCGTGCTAATCTCCCTCAGAAGACCTTCTCCCGCATCATGAATCATCGATGCAGTATCTTTGTGCTCATCCCCATCGTTTTTGTAACCGAAGGTACTGATACGAACATTTTGAAGAACTGGTTCTTGTGGAAGCCACGCTTGCGGCCAAAACTGTTCACTGTCCTCGCCTTTGGTCCAAGTCTTCACAGGATCGCCTCCTAAGCCATGGACGAAGATCAAATCGACGAGAGGCTCGAGCGGCTCATGGAGGAGAGTAAGTTCTTCAGGGGCACGCGGATTGGTCGCGAACATCGTGTCATCAGAAAATTTCGTGCGCATCGCCAGCTCCAATGGGGTAGGCTTCTGCTCAGGTGAAGCTGATCTCGAGGCATTACGACGCTCCTGAAACCCGATTAGTATGCTGTCCCGATATGAAGCGGGGTAGCACAAGAACTCACCAAGTCTTTGAGCCTCTTTTGGAGCTTCTTGCGGTAGTTGCGTTGGGCAATGCGGTTCTGTATCCGCCTGCGTTCAGCGAGATCTGAGATCTTGGTCCAGGCTTCGTCAGGGTTTGCCGAAGCAGAGAAGGCTGAGGAGGTGCCCGAGTGTTCTGTGGTGGTGGGTGCCGGGTTGGCATATGGGTAGGCAGCGTGTCTGTGCATGGTGATGGTAGATGTGGAAGACGTTTACACAGGAGGGACTACCATGAGCGAATCAACCTCTATGAGCAGCAGCGAAAGAGGAAGGCCATTATACATGACCTGTCATCTGCCATGCTTGATGTGACGAGATGAAAAGGAAAGTGCTTATTGTAGGTACTTGAGGCGCAAAGCTGGAAACTTCGTTCACAAGTGTGAACGAGACCTCGCACGCCTTTAGTGATTGTGGGAGTGGCAACATGCATGCATTCCGGTGTATCACGCGCATCAGCGCTAGACGATTGGTCTTGGATTGATGTGCTCGTCTATCCAAGGCATTGGTGTCGTCTGTTTCGGAGCCTTAGGTGTGCTCAGCCTTGAGGACAAAACGAACCCCGCAGTTGTGATGTGTCGCTTAGTATCCGAGAGGAAGCGCCACTGCCAGCATGCTTTATCCGCCTAGCGACTCTCAAGGTCACTTACTTGTATATGTGAACAACTAACAACCATCTCTCTTTCTCCCTACGCTTCATTCTTTCCACCTGGGCGGACATCGCAATGTGATGCTTGTACTTTCGTTATCATCCCACTTCACCCACATGGGTCGTTTTTGACTCCCGAATCTCCAATTGTGGCTACCGATCCATCTTGCGACTCGAAAGATGAGTCGTTATTATCAAGGACAGTTGCGGGCACGTGGAGCGAACGCGATGCATGATGCACCACGATTTGCAGGTCGCGGTCTTTGTCACACCAAGTAACGACAAAATTGCGTAGGGTAATAGCCTAAAAAATTAGTCTGCCACGCGATAGTTCGTACACGTGCGATCATCTCGGGGGCATGTTCGGTAATCTTGTTGCATCGAAGATTGAGACTGTTGATGTCGATGTGACAACAAGACCGAGACGAAACTTGGGCGGGGGTCGCGCCAGCTAATCACGCCCCAGACCGGCAGACCGCCGGACGAGGTCGGAGGTGTTTGTTTTTATCTAATTTTCCTACGGCCACAAACACTTCTCGACTCTGTCGTTAGTTCATTGATAAAACCTCGAACCGAGCAACAAACACAACACAGAAACACATCATGCCACCCATGGCGAGCTCTATACACCCCGACTTTCGGGACGATGTCACCGCAGCGCAAGCTCGTGCGGCAGACGAGAAAACGGAATGCCTATTCTTCGAACAACAGCTTGCGAAAAGAGCTGGAGATATGGACCGCTATATGCAGCTTGCCCAAGAGATGTTACAAACTCGACTAGGCGTTTACAAATCTGACTCGATGCCAGTTGGCGATGCCTGGTAGGAAGAGCCAAGGTGCAAACCCCATGCGAGATATCCGCTGACTTTGTACACTTGAATTCCAGGTGCTTGATCGGGTCAGCTTACCAAAGAGAGTCTAAACTACAAGAGGCAATAGCAGCTACTGAGAAGAGCATCGAAATACACGCTGCAGGAAATAATGAAGACAACTTCTTGCTAGCCAGAGAACAATTTTGTTTGATCATGGAAGATATGGACAACCTCCCTGATGCTAAGGAAATTCGATTACGAGGCGCAAGTACAGGGAGTATGGTTTGTTCAAGCCCACAGGTATGTTGGGCGAAATGTAACCTGAAGCGATGTTCCTAACGTGCTCGGCGCAGTGTCACTTTCAATCATACAACTTTCGCCTTCTGAATGGTGGCATTCGTCTGTTCAACTTGACTGAATTGCATGGGTGCGGTGGGTGCAGATCAGCGTTCTACTGCTCCCAGACATGTCAAAAACAAGAGTGGAAGAGACATAAATTTCCATGTAAGAAACATGTGGCTAGTAAAACTGAGGCATGATTGGCTGCATTATCCTGTACGTGCTTGCTGTACGAGTATCGTACAGGCTCATCGAAATAGAACTTGTTCGCTACCGTTGCTTTGAGCATCCTCCTGCGCAAAGACAATACGAATCGAATTACTCCTTCAACTGTGTGTAGAAGTGGAGGCGACAAGAAGCTAAAAGTCACCCGTATGAGATTTACTAAGGCGAAATTTTGTTATGTCTTGTGAAACGCGCTGACTATTCGAACAAGTCGAAGATAACCCTTCTGTAGCTATCTTGGTAGTGTGCAACTTGCGCAGGGCGGGGTATTTTAGCGCTTATATGTGCCTCAGAACAATGTACCCACCGACCCAAGTTGCGTCCCGGTTTGATGCGCCTCGACGCCACACCGGTCACCACCACGCCACCCGCCGGGCATTAGTTGACTTTCAGCCTCGTCGTGTCTGCCTAAAATTTGACCACGATAGTTACAATGGCGCTCGTTCCTCTGACATCGCGACCCGTTCTCCTGACCTACAGACGATGAGCTCCCATAGCCTTTGCACTCGTATGCGTATGCGCATGGTCTCTCAGGTTACCGACTATTCTCTCTAGTACGCTTCCCACTGAGCAACAGCTCAACTAGCCCTCGCGATGAGCGAGCAATTTATTAAGGAAGAGTCGCAAGCCCTTGTTCCTCACAATTTACACCATCCGGCCTACTCAAGCATCGCATCCGAAAATGGCGAAATCCGATTGTTGGAACTACTGCCTGGAAAGTACGACGATCCTCTCTCAATGCGCCTGCTGCCGAAGAAGTCAAACGAAGACATCGAATACGAAGCTCTTTCATATGCGTGGGGAACGACCGATAGTCCGCACGAAGCTCTTCTTGATGGTACCCCAACTTCTATGAGAACAAGCCTTGATCTTGGCCTCAGACGCCTCCGGTATGCTGAGAAGTCCCGCATCCTGTGGGTCGACGCCTTGTGTATCAACCAGAACGATGTCCAGGAGCGATCTCATCAGGTTCAACAAATGGAGATGATATACAGCTCAGCGACGACCGTACTGATTTGGCTTGGAGAGTTGCCATCATCCAATACGTGCCAAGATCAAGAGCGCTGTGAAAAAGCCTTTTCTGAACTTCTTACTGAATCGCGCCGAATAAACTTAATGCTCGGTTCCGCCACTCAGGACAAGCTACGCTTCTCGATGATGTCCAAATTTCTAAAGCAAAATGAGCTGTTTTACGATATACGCCATTTCATGGGACACCTTTCGGACACTTGCTCTCAACCTTGGTTCAGACGGTTATGGATTATTCAAGAGTTCATCTTGGCCAGAGAAGATCCAGTGATACACACAGGACGACACGTTGCAAGGTGGCTAGACTTCTTTTATGCTATAAAAATGAGTCGCGCATGCTGGGTGAATTTCCGACGCGGAGTTAAGGGAGTCTATCCTCAGCTTTTTGCGATGGAAGATTTCTGGAAAATGCGACACACAGGTACGAAGAAGAAGAAAACCCTGATGTGGTGGCTATCCTGTTCGTTCGATTCTGGTGCCACAGACAACCGGGACAAGATTTACGGGCTACTAGGAATCTGTGACTTCCAAGTAGCGGACCCAATTATACCTGACTATTCGAAGAGTTTTCAACAAGTCCTCGCCGAAACTCTTGTAGTTGATATACTAGAACGATCCCCAGTGCGCTATCTCGAACGTCCCTTAACACCCATCGTAGCATTCGACAGAGACCTTCACAGACCTTCATGGTTGTTCGATGAAGAGGGATTTAGATGGTCGCCTGAAATGCGAAGACCTCTGATACTATCTTCAAATGAGCGGAAGCGGCGAAACAGCTTGCTGCGCCTGTCGGAAGATGGCCGAACTCTTTTCACACAAGGTCGCTATATCGGTACAATCTCCGCCGTTTTGTCTTGCGTGACAACTGGAGACGACTCCAAAGAGAAGGCTCGTTTAGTCGCCGAGTTGTGCGAATTTTACCACAAAGTTCTGAAACCGATCAATATAACACCGCAACGTCTATTTGAGCTTGTAAGACCCAACAACAAAACATACGGCGATTCGAACGAGTTTGCTGCTCATTTGTCGGGAGTTGGGAACGAAGCCCCTTCAAACATAGAAATCAGAGAGTTTGGTAGTATGAAAAGGCAACTCTGCAAAGACGACCCTGGATGCTCTCAGACTCTGATAGTCACGGAAGAAGGTGATCTTGGAATGACATGGCATGTAGATCAAGTTGGATTACAAGCTGGTGACATCGTCGTCAATTTGTTCGGGTACAACGTGCCTATCATCCTGAGGCCTTCTGAAAGAGCTCAGGTGCATGTCATGCTTAACATCGCTCAGTTCGATTCGAGGATGGGAAGCTACGGCTACGATTGGGTTCGATTCGAGGATGTAGGAAGGGAAGAGTACGTACTTATCTGACGCATCTTATATCGAGAAGAATGCGATCCGCATTATCAACCTCATAAGACTATAGGTGATAATGCGCCCACTTCCTCAAGACGAACATTTCAATCACATCACCTAGACTCTACTTCGGCGATAATGGCAAGGCATACGGCCTTGGCCGCAGACTTAACATTCCCCTCTCCCACCCATCCCACCTAAAACCTACTAACATCCCTCCCAAACACCCAATTAACCGCCCAATAAACCGGCACAAGAACCTTATTCCTCCAACTAACCGTCCTTGTCAAATACGCCCCCCTCCAAATAATCCACGCCACATAACCCTGCAATCTCCCACCCCACTTGCCACCTCCCTGGAACAAGGCATTCCAGTTACCAATATACGCCAGCGTACCGAGGTCTTTGTATGTGAATCCCTTGGACTCTGAAGAAGGCGAGGACGGGGATAAGTCGCCCTTGTTTAGCCGTTTGGCGAGCCAAAAGGCTTTTTGAGATGCGACTTGTGCGGTAGCGGGGTAGGTCGTGTCTTGGATAATACCGCAGTCGCCAAGGGCGAAGACGGAGGGATGAATTGCTTCGGTTGTTGTGGAGCTGCTTTGTTCGCTTTGTTGGGATGAGGATGAGGAAGGGATTAGCTTTACGCGGAGGTGATCGTCGGTGATGATAGAGCCGGATTTCGGGTCTTTCTTGACTATCCACTTTACGTCTTTGTTGAGTGCGGAAGACGAGGACGATGAGGATGGGAGGTGTAGGTCGGTAGGTGCCTCGCGGACAGTGGAAAGTGCATGATCGACGAAGGGGTTTTGCATAAGTCCTGTACCTGTGGGTGGCAGTTAGTATTTGTATATCCAGGTAATGAGAGTGGGAAGACGTACTCCAGACGCACATGCCTACCCCAATCTCACCCTCCTCCTTGACCTTGAGCGTATACAAATGGTAATCATCGATATCATCCGACATACCCCTCTCAGCCGGCGCTCCTGGCCTCAGCTCCTCCACATGGTGGCTCGTCTTGATATCAATACCTCTACGCTTGAACTTCTGCATCGCATACCCCGCAAGTTTCTTGTCAAACATCGGCAACACCTTCTCCGCAACATCGTAAACAGTAATCTTATGGTACTGAATGAGTTCCGGGTACAACTTCTTCATATCTTCATTAATCAAGTCGTGCAGCTCGGCGCTGAACTCGATGCCCGTAGGCCCACCTCCCACAACAGCAAAGTTGAGCAACTGCTTCTTCATCTCAACAGAAGTGGTAGGTAGCGCCGCGCCTTCAAAGCATGCCAAGATGCGATTCCGGATCCTACGCGCGTCGCCCACGTCCTTGAGGAAGAAAGCGTGTTCCTTGACACCTGGGGTACCAAACGTCTGGCTATAACATCCCACCGTCACAATCAACTTGTCATACTGCACATCGAACAATTTCCCCACTTTGGCCTCCTTCTTCCTCTCCACCTCCCTCTCTTCCTTGGTCTCGCCTGCGTGCCGATCCGTAGTCAATGCAACACCTTGCTTCGGATCATCAACCGCCTCTTCAATCGTAATCGTCCTATTCTTAAAATCCACATCGTCGGCCCATCCTTGGAAGAATTCGACTTTTGTTCGTCGACTGCGCACGGGTTCGAGCGCGGTGCGGAATTCCAAGGTGCCAACGGCGGTAGAGGCCAGGAGGGGTGTGAAGGCGAAGTAGGAACGGGGAGATACAACGAGGGTTTGGAATTTCGAGGCGTCGAGAGAGCGGGCGACTGTGAAGCCTGCCCATCCGGATCCTAGGATGACTACGCGCTCGCGGTCTGGAAGGGGAGGGTTGTTAGAGTCACAAAGACAACTATCCCGTAGGAGGAAGGTAACAATTGAAAAAACGTACTGCCTCTCCCTTCATCCAACTTGTCAATCGTAATTCCTCTTCGCTGTTCCAAGCTCTTTCCATATTTTCCGCTTACCAAAGCACTCGTTCGAGATAGCGATCCCAGGCGCGAGCTGGCCGCAAGCTCCCTAACACCACCCGGCAACACAGACATTCGAGCCGGCGAAAACATGCTACAATGCTTCACAGTCTCAACTAATCCCTTGTATCTCAGCAGTCCCGAAAGATCATTGAACTAATAGGAACCACAGTTATATATTTTTTTTTAGTTATTTATCAACAGCCCGGGTGCTTGCGGGACGACACGACGGAAAGTCGGCGTTGACGCCATGACGTATGGCTTTTGCAAGCTTGACGCGCCGAGCGCTGCCGAACTAGTTCCTACATGCGATTGCCGTTGCGATTGAAGATTCGTTGCGCGGAGGAGGAGATGGGTTTCTTTGATCATACGAATACAGGTCGAGAGATAACTGCGGACTGGCATGGTATACCTAGGTAGTTACATGGCAGGGTTGAGAACGCGGTTCGGTCAGCGCGGGAGGAAAAGGGCCGTAAGATGGCGTCGGTGTCATGATGCGCCGCAGTCGATAATGCGTATGGAATGTAGGAGGTGGAAAGTAGGAGTTCCGTGAAGGTAAATATTGTGCCCAGGTGGGATGGAAATTTAATGTTAGTTGAGAAGCGCTCGGCTGACACAGACATCGTACGATCAGCCATTCGTCAACAAAATCACCTTGATGTCACGTATCCAAGATTTCTCCATCGCATTGAGTGTCGTCGTCACCTCTCTCTTGACACTGAGATATGGCCTTACAATAGGAATGATCTATAGTTGGTGAGAGGACCGTCTAGGACAAGACGGTCCGTTCGAGATTATGTTTTCGCGAATAGGTAGCAATACACGTAGCTATAGTACCCACCCTCAAAAACCAATCTTACATACAACACATACTGTGTCCATGAGAAACACAAACGATCTAGTATCTCGTCAATGCTTTACAAGCAATATCAATGCTAGTGGGTATCCCATGTCCCCTCCGGCCCCGCCAGAAAAACGCCTATACACCCATATGCACCCAACGCCTTCAACACTCCAATCCAATCCAAAAAAAAGAAAAAAAAGAAGAACGCCCTTCATTTCTTGCTCTTCCCACCCCCCAAGTACCCCACCACATCCCCCGCCCTCTCCAACCTCGCCCTCGTCTCAGGCAACCCCTTGTTCAACTTCTGCAACGCCAACACCGCCTTCTCCCAATTCCTCTCCACCTCTTCCTGCCTCTCCAACGCATCCACACCAACCAATACTCCATCATCATCATTATCGTCGCCTCCTTGCCGCTCATGCGCCGCTTGCTGCATCTCCCGCCACGTCTTACTCTCGGCCTCGAAGCTCCTGATCCACTCTTCGGCCGCAACCTTGGGCGTCGTCCGCCGCTGCTGGCTGATCTTTGCAATCAGCGCGTCGCGTCTAGCCACCGTAGAGGAAAGCTGCGTTCGCAGTTTATCGTCAAAGGCTTCGTATTCGACGGTTTCTACTAGTGATTCGGCCCCTCTGCCGTTGTTCAATCCACCACTTGCCCCATCGATATCCATCCTGTCCCTGTCCCCATTTGCTACCCCGTCTTCTGAATTGCTCTGGACGACGTCGATGCCGTTGATACTGATGTTTTGCCGCATTCCTTGTAATACTTGCGCAACAAACATCTCGACCAAGTCTTCTACGCTCCGTCGTAGTTCATCCGGCGCGTTTGCGGTCTCATCTGTAGAGGGGACTGGGGGCAGGTGGAGATCGAGTTTCTGTCGCGCGGCGGTGCGGATCTGGTTGGTGAGGTAGGTGAGATCGCTTGGGGACTGGAGTTCGATTTTGCGGTGTTCCATTGCGGGGGTGGGTGGGTTGTTGTTGGGTTCTTGGTGTTTGCAGCGTGCGCGCTGTGCGGGTGGGGTTTCTTCTTCCTTTTTGTTGGAGAGATTGTGGATTTCTTGTATTCGATGGATGGTTTGCGCAAGTTACTGAGAGGCGGATATGCGAGATTCTTTAGTGTGGTGGGGTGTGTATATCGTGTGGTGCAATGACCGTCGTCGTGAGTTGGGTCAGGTTTGTTTTGGCTGTTTGTTTGCGAACGCGGAACGTGGACCGCGCGCGACGCTTGATTGCCTTATCAGCCCGCCTTATCGGGGCCGAGGCTGTGGGGTCGCTGCACCACCTCGAAGCATGCGCTGAGCAGCAGAACAGTCTTGCACCGTTGGATACATGGCCTGGTGTATACGATAATAGCTATGTAGCTTGTGTATTGTTCCATCAAGGGTTACAGAGACAAAAAGAGCGCAAAGGCTTCTTGAGCAGCATGTAGACACGTCCCGAACACCTGATCCCATCCAATCCAGTCTCCAGCATGCAGCCATCCAAACCAAACGCCCATGACCATATACCAAAACACCTATCCCAACCCATATAAGCATGAATCCAGTGTCGCATCATCCGTTGAAATGCCAAAGCATATGCACATCCATTGTCCAACCTCAGCCTCCCCATGCATCCGTGCCTGTACACATCTATAGCCGAGTATCAGAAGGAAACATATTCCTGACCTCCTCATCTGTCAGAATGATATCCTGCACCGGATCCTGTCGGCGTTCAAGGTCGTCGAAGTGGTAATCGATGTACGAAGGGAGGAACATCTCTGTCAACATTGTCAATACACACCGTCAAAGAACCAACACGCCCATTCCTCCAACTAGCCACCCTCGGTAACCAGAACAGCGAAAGAAGGGAACAGTAGGGATAGAAACAAGAGCATAGAACGAGACATACCCTGATTCCAATCAAACCCTTGACTAGCCTTGACACAAGTGATCAGCCTCAATCCCCCTTCACCCTCCTCATCCCCACCAACATTGACAACGGTATGTTCTTGCCGGGAAAACGTCTCGCTCATCAGAGACTCTCTGCGACGCATGCTACTGGCACTGGTCTGTGGAGAAGAGCCCGATGGCAATGATGACGATGACGAAGGCGTGGAAGAACCATAGCTACGCGGGCTACCCCCGCTACCGTACGAGAAGCGGTTCGGCGAAGGTGTGAAGTTGTAATTGTAGTTGTTAGGCGTCGAGGGCCCTGTGGAAGCCGCGAATGACGACGAAGACGACGAGTTCCGATGGTCGTGGGCAGGGCCTTTGCCCTTGCGCTTTGGTATCGCGATGGAGGAGGACATGTTGTCGTTGCTGCTGCTGCTGCTGCTGCTGCTATAGCGTTGATTGATAGACAGATAGATAGTGATAGTGATAGTGAAATCGAGATAAGACAAAAGAGCCCAAGTCCAGCAAAGCAGCAGAATAAAACACCAACCGTCCGTTTAATATCACCAGTCAAATCACAAAATCATGCAACAAGTAAGAGAGAGAGAGGAAAGTGAGCGAGTCCGAAACGGCAGAAACACAGTCATAACCCATGATCATCGGACAACCGCTGTCCGCTCCGTTGTCATAGATCCACCACCCCCCGTTCACGGCGTAGCCTCGTCTGACTCCTCCTCTCTCCCCTCTCCACACGTCCCCCTCGGAGTGCGGCGATCGACAGGCGGAAGCAAGGTGTGTCACTGTGATTGGTTGATTGGCGCCTGCTTTCCGTCAACACCGCCTCACTTATAGTACACATGGCGTGCGCACGTGTAACAGGCACCCGCCTCTGCTAGTTGCATTCGCGGGCTATGTGTTGCGTGCGCGCGCGCGCGCATCTTGCATGATGCATGCATTCTACAGCCGTAGCGTCATGTATAGCTGTCATCTTTGTTATCTCCATGGCAGCTCGATATATACGAGCTTGCTGGGCATTGATGATAGTAGTAGAGCCGACGACTTCCGATGCAACATGGTTTATTGATGGTGGGGATCAATCAGGTCATCTGGGTACTATAATAGTATGTGACGTAGCAATAGCGTGTCGAAAGACCGAGGGACCGAAGGAACGTTATCACCCGGTTCCTGAATCGACCTGCATGTACACCGGAACAACGCACGCTATGGCATGCATCGTCCGCTGAGCTGTCCATCAAGGGAAAGAGCAGAGTAGTGTGTCAACATCACTTTAAAAACATTCGCAAATTGTTAGAATGAAGGAGCCATGCTCATTTCCATTGCAATAGAGAGATCCATAGTTCAGAGTATTTCGAATCAACCGCAACTAAAAGGGCATTGCTACGTCCATAAAACACCATCGCGCTCGCGTTCGCATACGCATTCCCATATATCATACAACTGTCAAAAAACTTCTGGATATCGTTCCTTTGCTCGCAGGACAAAATTCAAACTCATAAAGAGTTTTCCCCCCAAAAAGAAAAAGGAAAACAGGATGGCGAGGCTCGGTTCCTGCCGACAAACTCGTATTAGTGAGAGACGTGAAGAAAGGGGACAAATAAAAAAGCAGTCGCATAACTTCCATAAACAGAGCACACGCTAGCAAACAACTCAGCTGGCTTTGACAGCAAAAGGAAAAGACAACAAAAGCAAACCACCACAAACAGGGGGTAGAGTATTGCGAGGGAAAGCGGAAATCAAAGACTTCCGCCATATCCATGTCCATAGCCAGCAACTCCTGCTGTGTACTAGCTCCAGCAAACCAATTCAGACCTATCCGTCTCACACCAGGGGTATCCTCAAAGAAGTTGGGAGAAAGAGCGCGCCAATATACGCCTATACTCCGGCGCCGAGATGCTTATGGATGGATTCGTAGAAAAAGATGTCCTGTTGTGTAGTAATAAGAAAGATGTTATGTTGGGTTGAATGAATGAGAGTCGGATCAGTGTCTCTGTGTGGCGTTTGTAATCCTCAGATGGCAGGAAAGACGTAGTAATAATCGGGGGTATCGTATCTTCTTCGTGACTTGTCCGTCAGATCGCGCGCAGGAAGTATCAGGAAACGGCCCTACCACCCCTTCTTCCTCGCGAACCGCTTGTTGAGAAGGACAAGGACCTTTGAAACGTTGAACTGGACGTATTCCAAATCAAGATCTTCCTGGTTGTCCTTTTGCATCTCAAGCAAATCATCCAGCTTGAGATCGAGTTCTAGAAGCCCGCGGTTCCGTCCCTTGTAATGCAGGGATATGACAAAAGTACCAGGTAAGGGGCTCGTGAAGTTGAAGTAGATGTTCGCACGCCTATTCTCGGGTACGTTGCTTTTCTGGATCACGCCTTCGCGCTCAAGCTGCTGATGAGTGAATTTGTAAGGGCCGAGGACCTGGTGTTTTTGCTGTTTCCTTGTCTTGCCTTCGGATTGACTGCGCACGTTGTGGAGATAGGATTTGTAGGTGTCGAGTTGGCTGACAAGGAAGCCGTTGTGGTCGCGGATTGTGCGGAAGACTTCCTCTAGCTTGCGTGTCTCCTCAATGACCTTTTCTTTCATGGAACCCAAGTGCACCAGCTCTTGTTCGACTTCATCTCGCAGTAGAGAGAAACCGTCTTCCTTGTCAATGACACCAAGATCTTGCAATTGAGAGAGCAACTCCATGCTGCGAATGCCCTTCTTGACCATGACAGAGTCATTCTTTGTTGTGGCGGCTGCTTCGGCGATACGATCGAGTCGGAGTGGTCGTCGTGTAATGGAGGTGTTGGAAGGGAGCGAGCGGAGGATCATGACGAACGTCGACTTGGCCTCCATGAAGAAGATCTCCTCTTGCGTAATATCAAGTGCTGCTGTGAGATCATCGAGTGGTGTTTCCCATTTGCTGAATAGTGGGAGGTTAATGGCCCTATTTTCTTTGCGCGGAAGCTGTGCTGGCGCGGTGCCGAGTTCCTGTAGAATGACGCCAAGATGCGAACTGTCTTCTTTGGCCTGGTAATGTTAGCACGGAAACGAGTGGGACTCCTTCAATCCACTCACAAGCTCAGCGGCATGTCGCTCTAACAGCGAGTGCGTCGCATACACTTCATTCAGCGTGATAGAAAGCTCCAGGTCCTTCTTGGACAAAGCAACGTAGTTGTCCATTTCGAGGGTATCGTAAAAGTCTTGTACTTCGCAGAGATCCAACAGAAACTTGTTTATCCTCTCCTTGTTTTGGTGGATAAAAGGCTGCAACTTGACCATGTACGGCTCCTTCGCATACGATGGCTTGTTCGCGAGATTCTGCAGCATCTTGGCAATATATGTTAGTGTCCGCTTGGGGTTCTCCGCCGGTAGCACATCGATCAGCATATATGACCTTGGTGTGACAATGGCGGGGGTGATGAAGCGCAGGAAGAAGAAGCCTCCGATGAGGGGGCATATGGTCTGATCTTGGGCATCAGGGTACTTTCGTCTCGTCAAACTTCGAATCTGCTTGCATATCCATCGGGTGCCGTAGGGCGTTTCCTCGAGGCCTTTGATGATGGTCGTGAGGAAGTTGTTGGCAATCTCCATAAGCATATTGACGCGTGGTGTGATGATGTTCTGTACAGTCTCATTCTCGGCCGCCTGCTCTGCGGTGACGCCTTTGGGCAGGTTTGGGGGGAGTTTTCCCTGGATCTCAAGCTCAGTAACCATCTTCTCGTACACCTTAAGTGGGTTGATCTCAAGGTCGAGGTCCTTGAGCTCGATGAGGGAGTTGATGCTGTCCTGCAAGACAACCTTGAGGTAACTCTGACCGGGTCCTCGCCGGGTATATGTAGTCATCATGCGAGAGACTGGAGTGTTGGCGCGCAGAAGCGAGCTGTAGTCTGGGGTACTGTCGAACTGATACGTAAGTACTGACTGTAGTGGGGTTAGCATGATTCTTGGCCATTGACTTGACAGCATACCTGGAACATAGTCAAGAGCAAGTGTTCTTCGCGACTCTCGTATTGGTTTCCGTAGATTGTGAACATGACAGTTTGTAGCAAGGCATCAATCTCAGCCATGGAGACGAGTCGACAAAGATGGGCAATGTGACGCGGTTCGGATTGGAGGAGGAACAGCAGGTTGCCGTATTTCTGCGTTTTCTCGTCGTTGGGAAAGAAGCCTTCCTGGAGTTCGAGGCCGTCGGCAAGGTGGTCGGCGACTTCATTTTGCTGCAATGGTCAGTACAGCGTGGTAGGTAAGACTGGTCAACGCACCTCCTCCAAAGCCATGCGGTTCTGAATCAGCAGGGCTATCCGTGAGTCGAGGTAGCGCACATCCTTTTCCAGGACGAAGTTCTTCTTGGACTGCGACGAGATCTTGGCCTTGAGTTCGCGGAGTATCTTCTGAGCTGCCAACAATTAGCCTACTAGGCGCATTACGCACACGTCGTCGCATACCTCTAGCCAGGTCATCCTCAATCTCGAGCTCCTTGTCCTTGGCAGACATGGACAGATACAGGGCAGTAACGGAGTAGCGCTTCGACTGGCGCACCGAGCGCGACCCATCGTGGGACGACATTGTGTTCTGACGCGATACGGGGACAAACGAGGACGAGGACGACGTCGAAGCCCGCGAGGGAGCGTGCAGCATGGAGACCGCCATATTTGGGGGTCGGGTGTCGCGGAGAGGGCGACTTTAGGAGGCGGAGACTTTGTTTGTGCGCGCGGTCGCGACAGGCAGGCACTGCGGAATTGCAGCGGTCGGGCCCGTCCAGCGAGAAGAGATGGGCGCGGGTTTGGTGGTTAATAGGCAATTTGGTGGTTGACAGGTAAATTAGGCGGTGTCTCGGTGGCCGGAGAGGGCGATGGCAGCTGCGAGTTGGTGAATGGTCGAGAGGGGGCCGCGGGGGAGAGCTCAGACGGTGAGTGGACAATGGGCAAGCTGCGACATTCCCGACTGACGACTCACGTTACTTGGAATGGCACTTGGACTGGCGATTTGGTGGTTGGCGACGTTGGGGGAGTCTTGTGATTAGTGGTGACTTGAGTGACTTGGGACTTGGTTCTTGGGCTGGAGGGACGAAGGGGCGCGTGTGTGGAGTAGTCTTGTCTACAGATTCACGGGTGTTTCAGTCCGTCGTGGAAGAGTGGGCCGGGCGTGGAGGCTGCGAGCTGCACCAAGGTGGGACGTCAAACGAGGCAGGGGCAAACGGGCACCCACAACAATACAGCCGACTACCTTGATGCGGGCATGCAGACGATGGGAGCGAGACGATACCCTGCAACTGGCAACGTACACAGCAGACCTGCACTACCTCCAGTTATCCATACGGACAGGGTCTGCACTCCGTCTGAAACTCTGGTCAGCTGCCCGTTCGCCTCCCCCTGAAAAAACCCCGATCCTCTCGCGCCTCATGTGCTTGAAGCAGAACGTGGCCCGCGCCCAAGCGACCGCTGGTTCCTGGCTAAGGCCGACTAGCCAACGTCAAGCCCGACACCAGAGCAACAACACTATTTGACTTTCAGGCCCGCGATCGCAGCAGGAAAAACATTTACAACCATCGACGTTGTCGTCGTTGTCGTCGTCGTCGTCTGTGTGCACAAAACTAGTCGTGCATCTACCGGAGCCCTCAGCTGCCGAGCGCAGAAGGAAGACGCGCCGGTGCCTTGTTTGGCTTGTACCACGGTAGATGAATGGCGGCGGGCTGGCACCAAAGATGTGGAGGTGGGCCTGTAAACAGCCTTGGGTCTCCGTTATCAAGTACCTCATCACTGATTCGGTTTTCCGTATCCGTCGTCGGCGATCATTGTACTGCATTTCCCATCATCGTCATCTTCGCTGGTCGGTCCGATGATCCTACCCATCTCTCCGTCCTGCTCCATCAAGTAGAAACAACCACGACTATCGCAATGTTGCCAAAACGCAGCTGATAATCCTCTTTCCGCGCGCACGCCCGCTAGCGATCGGCAATTTATGGACTATCAAATACCGCGCCCAGGTGTGATTACCATACCAATACCAATACACACTTGCGCCACAGGATCGTCTCGCACGGAATAATTACCAAAAAAGAAGATAAGGCTTCTGCTTCGGTATGCACATACATTGTACATATACGAACGCGAACGAATATGCGACTAGCATTAATAGATACAATCACCTTGCAGGGCCCCGAGTCGCTTGGAAATCCCATCACGCCATACAAGGCCCCGCTCCGCTTCCTTCCAAGCAGGAACTGGAGATTGAACAGAGTGATCCTGCAAGCGATTTTAGCGATTCATGTGCTGTGCCTTGGATAGAGTGAACTCTGGTAGCCGCCCACGCGCACCCGCCCCGCCTGCAGCATGGAAGACAGCACATCCGAGCCTCGTTTATTACCATCACCATAAAGAAAGCAAAAGCCGGGCCGGGAAGGGAACAAATACCAGTTGAGAGGTTTATCAATACATCTAGTCGCTGCACACCCTTCATCCTTACTCCCAAAGCAGACGATCCCCATCATTATGCGCCGCGCCGTGCCGAACAAATAGAGTAAACGCGAACGCCTGCGAACCTATATAGTAGTACACACATTACATACATACACATATACATAACATATGCATACACGATCTTGGCTGCAAGCAAACGAAACAAAGCACCGCAAGAAACCACGGCAAACGGCAACTCCACACTCTGCTCGCGATCTCCTCGGTCAGACTCTTTCGTGTGTGCGGGTTGGCCTGCCTCGGACTTTGACACCCTGACGCGCCTTGCGCAGTTTGGCGGCGCAATGATCGCCGTCAGTTTTCGGGGCGCACGGGCTTCCAGGCACAAACTACTCATCTATCCTCTTTGCGCAGGCCTGCATAGCGCGGCCTGCATGTGTGTGTCCTTGTCTTTTTTTTTGTGTTTGCGAGTCATGGACCCTTCTTTTCCCTTCCCATTCCACCATAGGTCCAAATTTCGAGCCAAGAGCCGTCAGCGCACCAGCGCCGCGAGGAGCACGTTTACCCCGAAATAGCTGGTTCGTCTTGCGTTAGCTCAAATCTTCATCCAAGCGCACCGCCTCAGGAAACGGTTCGGTCGAGAAAGTAGGGTCTCCACCGGATGATACATGTGGGTTAAATAGAGAGAAAAAAAGACGTTTTTGGCACCCAATTATTTCCGCGCTGAGCGAGGAAGCTTTCACATGGGGCTGCAAATCTCCGTCATGTGAGGTGAGGTGAGGTATCGACGCATGCCGTCTGTCGTGGCCCCCACGCGCTCCTTCCCTTGTCCGCTTGGAGCTTGGGTTCAATGACAGACGTCACGACAATGCATTGGGCTGGAATCCTAACAGAAAGGAAGGAAGGAAACTTACACGGCAGCAGCTACACTCCAATTACGCAAAGACAGCAATCTCATGAGCTGAGGCGTCTCTCTGACAATCTTCCCCTCTATGCCAACGGCCAGCCCGATAACAATGATCCGTCCGAGCAGACTAGGCACTATCGCAAACGCCACGAGGGGTAGTATGAGGAGTAGTGGGAAGGTAATTGCTGGTGGCGCTGACTGAGGGGCGTCTTGCCCGGCTGCCGGCGTTGCCGTACTAGTAGCAGTAGCAGTAGCAGTAGCAGTAGTAGTAGGCGTAGACACCGCTGGCTTGCGGGGACCAATAGTGACCAGGTCCTCATCTTGCTCTAAGAAGCTTGATTCCTTCTCATCGACCGGATCGTGCTCGTCCATCCACTCGCGGTAGTCCTGGATAGCCTGCGCAGGAGCCTGCTCGAGACTTTTCGATACCTTGCTAAAGGATAATAATGCTTTGTCTATAGGTACCCGAGTCAGCGGGAACGACACTTGATCGGTGGCAGCGACGATCGCATGCCACCCATTCTAATCAAGCCACAACTTACTATACTGCTCTAGCTTCTGGTAAATCCTTCCCAAGAGTTCGGTCCTCTTGAAGTGCATCTCACCCCCGAACCGCGCGTCACCCCGCCTGGAAGCAGGATACGCATACCCGTCCGCATCTCTCGGTGTAATCTGGGCAATGCATTCATCTAGGTTCCGTAGTTCTTCTTCTAGTTCACTAGTCTCGTCTTGCAAATGCAACAAAACTCGATGGTTCAAATGCTCAAACTTTCTATACATGGGCACGAGACCCTTCTTCCCATTCCGGCTATGAGAGCCACTCGACGAACGTGACTCTGTCGATCTGCTGAGCTCATTGGCTAGCAGTTCGTAGCCTACTACCGTCGGCCTGGTTTGGCTACTGGAAGACGGCGCATGTTGTTGGTACAGCGGCGGTTGTCCGGCGTGTGGGGAAAAGGGCGGGGGCATGTGCTGTATCATATTCATGCCGTCAGGGGGTCGTATCGACAGGGGATGCGCGTGCGCCATTTCTGGGGATTGGTGAGGCGCGTACCCAATGGCTAGTGGAGCTGGGAACGAGGCCATAGGTGCCCATCCAGGTGGTGAGCTGACGGCTGCATTCACTGCCGCGGGAGATGCACCGGAGTAGCCTTGCGGGCTGTACATTGGCATGGGTGGGTAGTTGTAGGGGGGTTGCTCAGCGCCATACTGGTAGTCTTGATATGGCTGTGGAGCTTGGAGGATATGATTTGCTAATTCACGCTCTTGCTGTTTAAGACGACTGGCGTGCGGATCGCTTTGACGAGAGGATGTCGACGGAGCTCGAGGAGGAATGGTTCCTGTCAGATGTTGGTTGGGTACCTGGTTCTTCTGGTTCACTTCTTCCTCGCTTTCTGAACCACTGCCACTCTCATCGCTGCCTTCTTCCTGGTTGTTTTCAGCTTCCTCCCCAGGGCCATGCACGAAACTACTAGCGTATAACGGCTTCTTGAACTTGCGGAATTCCTGATTGGGTGGATGTGATGATGTTTTAAAAGACCTTCGTGTTGAGGCTGGTGAGGTCATGGGGGAATCGATGGTATGTTGTGAGTCTGCTGCTACAGACGACCGTCCATCGTCGTGCTGGATGTCGCCTGATGATGACGAGGATGACGAAGAGGCAATGGTTGATGGAGGCATGGCTTGAAGATCTGTGGGCGTAGGTGTAAAGCTTTCGCCTGTGTCGTCGCTGGACTGAAGATATTGGAACACTGCTGGTTGACTAGCGTTCATACTGTTCAAGGCAGGGCTTTCCACAGTCGTTGATGCAGACGGACTATGGCTTTCATCAGGCTCTAGATACTGGGCGACTTGGTCATATCCGCTATACGGCCTCTGCAATACTGTCGAGTTGCTGTCACCTGAGACATCTGATTGTTGCGTCACACTCGAGACAAGAGATGGATCTGATATGTTGGCCATGTTCCCAGCATGCCGCTGCAAAGAGCTTCTCTTATCACGTGTGTGCGAGCGTTTCACAGCGTTGTCGCCAGTATGCCGGCGACGGAGAACCTTAGCATCGGCTGAGGAGCTGACCACGGAGCTTCCTCGACGTCTTGTTCGTGTGCTGACTTTGCTCTTGCTCTCTTTTATCTGGCCGAGCCTGGGCATGTAGCCGATGGTGCTTCCGTCCTCGTCCAGCTCTTCCTGTTTGCCTTGTGACGTCGACCCCGTATCGGTATGGTGCGAGTCGCGTCTCAGGAGCTTCTTCAAAGTGTTGCGGGGCGGTTTGTTCCGCTGTTCGCTCTCGTCATGATCGTCTCCACGGGGCGGTGAGGCTGAAGGCGGGGTGCCTTTCGAGCCCGAACTGGTGCGAGATGGACGACGTCTAGTGTAGGGTGCACTAGTAGCAGAACTTTTGCCTATGTCATTGAGGCTTTCGTAGTGGTATTTGGGATCGCCTGGTGTAGGACTTCGCTGTCGTGAGGGTGAATCAGAGCCCTCAAAGGATGAGGTGTGGTCCGACTATGCATGAGAGTATCTACGTCAGTTCCAAAAGCAATCTGGTAGTTCAGGGTAGAGAGGCAAAGAGCGTGTTTATGTTATCTACCCACCATGCTATGTAGAGTTTACAGGGTACAGCTGCTGTCAGCAGAGGCGGTGCTTGCGTCAATGGATTTGATATTGGCAGCGATGGCCTGGTGCGGGGATGGTGATGGTGTGAGGGAAGTGAATATAGACAGTGACGCGATGTGCGATTCCTTGCATGCTGAAGCGATTACAAGCACACGTTGTGCAACGAGAGAGGCTGGAATGGGCAACGCAAGCAAACGGTGGATGTCGTGGTACGCCTCAAGGCCTGGTGATTGTCACGGCTGGTGTGCGCCATCATTATGGCAATGCAGTATACAGAGGACGAAGAGAACGCATGTTGAACTGAAAGAAGCAACAACGAGGAAATTCAGCCAGTCAGTCACCGCCTTGTGTATGCGGTTAACGTTGGCTGTTGACCGGGAGTGGACCGGAAGTGCCGCGCTGCTACCCAATGACGTTGCGATAAGCCCGTCAAGCGACGATACCCCACAATGTGGGTCCTATCGTCGCTCGCCCTCCCTCCCTCCACGCCTCCACCGTCCGCTGAATCCGTCGATCCGCGTTGCGGTCATGCATTCGAGGCAGACTTCTGTCCAGTGGTGAACCATCTTGTTATTGCTTCGTGGAAGGACCGCGAATATGCATCCTCCGCCGTTCAGTCGCTGCTCAATCACTGCCACGTCAACAAGCTACTGCAACAACGACCAGGATCGTCGAGGTGAGCAATTCCAGTTCACTCCACTCAAAGTCCACTCCACGAGTTTCGCAACTCAGCCGTTCCCCGGGCTGGGGATCCTGGCAGATGGCAGGCTCTAGGTCTCAAACCTAAATATCTCCACGCCAAGTTTCGAATACCTAAGGCGAGCAGATTCTCAGACAAGTCAGGTGTGCATGACGTCTTCAGCGTTTCGGTAGCATGCAAATCTTACAACAACGTAGCAGAATTCTCCAGTTGGAATCACTACAATCTGAGGGCTCTGCCTAGTACTTCCAACAAATATTGCATACGAGGTTGGGGTGTGTGATGGCAACATCAGCCTTGCTTCGCCACATGCGGGCAGTGTCTTCAGCCTCGCATGCAATGCGGGAACTGGACACCATCTCTACTCGTCTGCCTTGATCCCTCGCATTGGGACAATGTAAATAGACTTGACGTGCAGTGCTGCCTAGTCGTCGTTTGCATAAGTTGCTATGCTGTGGCATGACAGAGATGAGCAAGTCCTCTTGTCCTTGATCATCCTCAACAGTCCTCATTGATATCAATTCACGTCATGTTGCCATTGCCAGCAGACCTTCCTTCGAAACCGCCGAGAGCTCTCACCAAGCACCACATAGGTGAGATTGCGACGCAGACGACTGGAATTGAAGATTATCCACATGAAGGCCCAAAGAGCACTAAGAACAGAAAACGGGGGAGTGCTATGCAAGGCTGGTCAAATCCGCAAGAGTCGCCAGAGCCGCCTGAGCTTCCTGAGTCATCTGAGCCACCTGAGCCGTCTGAGCTGCCTGAGCTGCCTGGAGATAATATTTTCATTGATTTCGAGAAGGTAGCTGAAAAGAGGCCTAATGCAAGCTGCGTATTCTTACTTTGGGGTTCTGGAAACTCTGGAAACTCTGGAAACTCCGAGAACTCTGGAAAATTCACAACCTGGGCTATGGATGTTCCGATTACCGATGCTGAAAATGAACATGAGATCTTCGCTTCATTAGCTAAACAGTATACTACAAGGCTTGGCTTCTTACAAAGATATCTTTCTTTCCGAAGGTTCAGTAGGCTCAGGCCCGTCGCTGTATGTTCCAACCATCTCGCAGTGTACCCATCCGTACTAAACTTGAGTATAGTTCCGATTCATTAGCCATTCTTCAACAAGATTCTCAGCCATTGCTGAACCTCTGGACCTGGAAAAACACCGCGAAGGCTTCTCTAAGCGACAAGAAGAAGCGATGGAGATTATTCGCCCTATAACAGACTTCGATTCCGTTGATCCAGGCCACTGTTATCGCGACAAGAGCTCGGGAGAATATGAACATTGCAACGGAGCTTGCCCATTCAATACATCAAAAGATCGTAGCGTCCTAAAGTGTCCGTTCGAGGAATGGGAACTCTGCAACGACCTGCTAAAGTGGATTGAATATGAGCCTTTCCTTTCTTCCTACTTCCGAGACCCAGCTGGTGCCCGTTCTCAAAACATGTTCAGTTGCTTTATTGGACACTGCTTCATCCACGAATACAAGTAAGACTTGCGTACGCACGATACAGAACTCGGCTAACGTCAATACCATTAAGAAATATCTTTTTGCCTCCTGCTCCACCCCGACCGCAGCCACCTCGACCACAGAATAGAGATATAAAACTGAATGGATTGTACGTTGAAACTAAGCTGGATCGTATCAGATGTTTGTCCGTATTCCTGGGTATTCTCCTTTGTGTGATCGCCGGCGGAAGGCTTGTCTGGGGTACCTGGGAGATAGTGTTTGGTGCTGGAAGCTTCCTCGTCGCTTTGCCGATGTTAGTATTGACACTACTGAGTCATTATGAAATGTGACAACTCACGGTAAGTTTGATAACAAAAGCATCCATTGCAACGATAAGACTAAGGATAAGAGATTATACAAGGAAAGAGCATCCGCGCCCGACCACGACCACGTATTAATCGGTGAAAAATGCAAGAAGTAATAGACAGTAAGGTACCCTATCTATTATTCACTCTAGCAACACAAATCTGCCTCTTTCTTCATCTTCCCCTGGTGATCGCATTGCAAATGAACTCGGTAGAACCGACTTGGATGGATAATTCGAATGCGCCTCATTCGCTTTCTTTGGTCCTTCCCATATATTATATCCGAATTCTATCAGGAAAGGCACCCTGCAGATAGACATAAGTCAGTGTATGCATCTTGCAAATTCAGTACCTCCGAGACTTACCATGTTGAAAGCGCCAGCACCTGCCCAAATGTCCATTTGTTGTCTCCGTTGTTGTCTCCAGCGCGAGATCGTATGTCAAGAGTCAGTTTTACGAACCAACCGATGAGATACCACATCATGCACAAGCCCGCAACGATGACTGCCCATCGTATCATGCTAGAGAGTCGTTCAAACAGTCCAGGTCGCCGCCAAACCGTAGAGACAAGGAAATCGACAAGATATGCTGTAACGTTGAGACACAAGAATCCAGCGACAGTCCAGAACAAGATTGCCATACTCCTGAACGACTTGACCTTTAAACAAGGGCTCTCTTCATATGATGGATCAACATCTTTCACCCCCCATCCAGATCCTCCGTCGTTGTAACGAACGGAACTGAGCGCGGCTAGAACGACAACCATGATATCCATGATCAACAACACCAATACTCGCCCTTTGTATCGTTGCAGCAGTTCCCATGCTGCAAGGTGCAGTACAAACACTGCGAGAACCGAGTATAGAGGTATGACCAGCAGAAGTATCCATGTCGTGGAACTTTCATACGCCTCCATTTGCGTGATTGAACATACGGAAGCGATTAACAAAGCAAGTGAGAATATTGCTGAGGTTGAAAGGAACTCGCGAGTTGTGTCAAGTACTGCGCATAGGATACGCGAGAGTGGAGGCCACATCCATGATTGATTCGACCGCAGGTTAAGGTTGACCGTGAGTATCCCACAAAGGTAGACTGTGATCAAGATAGCCTGCATTATGTATGTGGCCAGCATCTACATCGATTAGCACATGGTGGTCTCGATGTTATCGTGGTACTCACACCGACTCCGGCAAGGTCAGGGCTACCTTCCCAACCGATAACTTTGCACATCTCTGCAGGGCAATCATCCCAGCCCCTATTGCTGATAATACGGCGGAGATCCCCGTCATTGATAGACCAGTCCCAAAAGCTTTGGTTCATAGGTGGAGCTTCCAGTGAACCATTTTTGATAGCTTCGAACCCCCGTATAATGGACTGATAAACGCTTTCATCGGTATCGTATCCCAAATAATACTTGGTTTCCCCTGTTGTGTTATATTGCAAGTAACTCCAAATTGCCATCATGCTACTGCAGTTGTCGTCCCTGTAATCATAAGGATCGAGAAGTGTGAAGTTGTATGGTGTGGAGCTGTTCATGATGGGTGGTTATTAGCCAGTACGCTGGCTCGTTGACTTGCACAAAGGAAAAGATGATTGTACGCGGATATCGGCCTCTGAGAGATTTCCTGCGAATTCAATTACGACAAAGATGTATGCTTTTCTTCGGTTGTGGAATCAGTACATCTTAACTGAACTGTCGTGCCCCTCCAACAAGGCTGAGCCGGCAAGCCACCTTCTATCTATAGCATCCATGTACCGGTATGCACCAGCTGAGCTACAATCCAGCATGTTTCTCCCACACCAAATTATTCCTCCCACGAATCTGTTCCGTGATCTAGATGTTCATGCGCCCGTGTGGTGAGTTGAGAGTTTTAGTCCTCTATAAGAAGGCCTGCCTGCATGTACCAGGAGACGGCCACTATGTTGCCGAAGGCAGATGGAGATAATGGGGGAGTGGTGATTTACTCTACCATGTGCAGGCAGAGAATTCTTTGTGAACCAGAAGTGGATGCGCGGCTGACCAGAATATTGCTTCTGAATCAGGCTGTGAATAGTGGCGCTTTGTGTAACATTTCTGATTTGACTGCGCGGTGCATGCTATTTCAGGCTCGAGGTGGTAATATCAAGATAAGAGTTACAAGGCTATGTCATTCATTCTCTAACACTGCTGGACATTAGAGATGCAAATGGTCATGTCTTTCTGTGGATTGAACTGTTCATCTTGGGGATATCAATAACGCAGTGCTGCCACTGTGTATATGTACTGCAGTGATGCAGAGCTGCCGCTTATCGAGTAAATGAGGCCGTCATTCGACTGCAGAGATTGGGCGTCGGCTTATCTAATCTGTTTGTTGGAGAAGGTGACTGACACATTGGATAGAGGAACTGGTGTTCACCTGATGCTTTTAGCGCCCACTTAGGCGGGCTTACTGCATCCGACGCAACAATCCTGAATCGTCCTTCCACCTCCATCTTCCGCAAGCGCATTCTTAATGTCAAGGTCGACCACAACTATGTTTTCGAATCCTATCATTTCTCAACACACGATATGTTTGAATTGCTCAATGCCACCAAGGTGGCTTCCTGCCTACACACGGTACCTTGGTTGCTGAAAGACATCTCGTGGTAAGCTCATAGGGCACATATATTGTATCTACAAGCGTTTCAAAGCATCGCGTTATGTTCTGCGAAACTCGTCTTGTAACAATCTGGTAGCGGTCCATATCCGTATCGATAGGCGACCCCAATAAGTGACTCTCTAGCCAATCCCCATCGAACAAAGTGGTACGAAAAGGGTCTTTCCACGAGGCTCGCCACACGGTAAATTCAATTTCACACAAACCCAATCCCAACCTTTTCTGCTTCAGTCCTCCAAGGCTCTCGTATTCCGTCTTCGTGATTCCAATCTTACCCACCATCATGGCTACCCACACCGACGCTCCACTTCCCTACACTCCCGGAATACCAGAATTCACTGAGAATATGGCCACGACAATTGAGCAAGTGGAAGTCGCGCATAGAGCTACGCGATTACAGCGCTACCTCCTCGAAATCATCACATACCCTCTCCTCGAAATCATCACATACTCTCTCCTCGAAATCATCGCATACTCTCTCCTCCAGAAGAACGAACGCGCCGACCTGTTGCATCTCCCACAAACATACACCAAACATATTCCCAACAAACATTCACTTCAACACCACGAGCACACATGTCACAATATTTCTACACGCATGGGAGAGTACCAACACGAACTCGACATTCTGGACAAGGAGAGGAAGGTGAAGGTACAGGAGATGAAGCGGCAGACCATCCAACTACTTGTTATGTGTATTGGTGGAATCGTCTGCGTCCTAATTGTGTGCCTCATATAGATTATATGCACCGTCAAATCGCCACGTCGACGCTAGAAGACGGCCGTATGCTCCTTGTCGAAGCCGTCGAGCCCAGCAGAACACTCAACATCGATCCGGGCTTCACCCTCCAACTCATGGCCGCGTACGCAGACGAGCACACAAAACCCTGGAGGCAGAAACGGAAGCGCAATCTCATCGCTGACCTCGTATGTCTCGGACATTGGCTCGCATACCTGGTTGTACCTCAACGTCATCTCTCAACTTGTTCTGCAATTGTCGCCAAATCATGTGGTACAGAAGACACTTGGGTTGGCACTATGAAAGTATGGCAGGGGATGGAAGCACCGGCAGCTTTGGTTTATGACGGATTTGGGCCCTCGAAATGCCTACTACAAGGGCTACAATAGTCTTGCTGAGTTCCTTACCGGTATACCTATGGTTGGAGAGGATGGCACATAGCAGCAGTTTTTGGCCTTGGTTACCCTATGAGAATCCCGTTGTTCCCATTACATCATGGATGTCTCGATGAATTTGAACACGCAAGCATCGTCTTACTGTATTCTATCGCAAGTAGCGTCTGCACCGGAAAGCAAGCTGAACCACGCTGATACTTTCACTTTCTCATAAGCAAAGTTCTATCCATGAAGCCACAACCAAGAAAAGAGGCTCTTTAGACTCTCCAGTACTATATCAGATAGCTAATACGAAGTGCCGAAACGCAACCCTCATATCCTAACCGCATCGTTACATATCCTAACATTTTACTCCCAACGCAAATCAGAACTCGCAGTACAGCACCCAGGCAGCCACCTAAGGGTGACTGGAGTTGGCATAAGCCCGTTTCTCTAGATGTGTCAGACATGCCATGCGTGTTACTCGCAACTATTGTAAGAGTATGGCATCTCAATCGTCGATACGGTAACCGTGCCGTCACACTCGCCTCAGAGCGTGCCACTGCAAGTAGCCTTGAAAACTTCGAGAGTATATCCACAGCCGTTGTGTTTTGTATCGGCTCTTGAGCACATAGCTTTGTTTAGGTTTCACAATGTGTGAAGGCGAGGATATTTAAGAATGCTAATAGCAAACCAGGCTGCTCTACTGATTTGTATGTATATTCTTCCTTGGTGGTGATTTGTCATGTCGTGGGATATGCTGTCTACACTGTGTAACCTCAGCTTATCTCTTGCTTGTATAAGGACATTTGACTGGCAAGTGCTGTGACATCTACAGCTGACGTGTTCGCCTACCTGCCTCAAGCCTCCTCATATCGTCCCACGCGTAATCTAAATCGATACACTCCTGCAGCCTCGCCCCGTCATCCATGCCGGCATACCATACTCATCCCACAATCCGTCCCCTCAACCCACTCCTCCCCAAAACCTCGCTCTCCTCCAACCCATCAACACTAACCTCACTCTCTTTACTCCCCGCCTTCTCAATCTCCATCTTCGCCACCCCTTTGCCTCCTACTCCTACACTACCCCACCCCCAATTCTCCTCCACCCACGTCACAGGCCAAAGTAGCACCGTACCCGCAACACAGAATATCGTCGCCCAGATCTGCCACAACCAGATCAACATCCACGCGCCCGGTGCAATGAAGCGGATCCACTGGTCGACTTGGTACAAGTCGTCTTGCTTGGAGATATGGTAGAGGGGTTTTGACGAGGTGTTGGACGGGGAGGATGAGTTCTGCGAGGTCACGTCTGCGAGTAGAGAGTGATTTGGTTTGGTTTCGGAGGCGGATGTGGACGAAGAAGCGGCGATGGAAGCATACGAGGGCGGAGAGGCCGACCGACGGAGGTACAAAACGGTGGTAAGTCGCACTGGCGCGTAGTAAAACGGTATCAACCAGATACGGAAGATTTGGAAGATTGTGACGTAAAGTATGAGATTCTTCTCATCGAACGCTGTTTCCCATTCTCGTTAGCCATCTTGTCCTGTATACATGCAAATAGCCGAGTAGGGAGGTGTTGAGACGTACCAACACTCTGCACCGTACAATCGATCCTCGGACTCATAATCTTGTACCACCGATACGTCCGCTCAACCAACCATCTCGAGTTTGGCCTGCTTGGTGTACGACAAAACGGGTGAGAGAAGGCGGCATCGGGCGTAAAGTATTTCTCAATCGTTGCGCGCTGCAGCGATGGCGGAGATTGCGTGAGGAGGTGAATTACTGCGGGGATTTCCTTGACTAGAATGCGGGAGAGTTGTTAGCAAGGAAGAAAAGTACGCGCCGTCAAGCCGGACTACTACCGGGAAGCGCATTGGACAACGTCAGGGTAGTGGAGGGTGCGACGAACCTGGGTCTTCCATCTTGGGAGGCGACGACGGGGGCTGTGAAGGTGCGGCGCGAGGTTTGTAGAGCAGAGAGCTACGCCGGGTGTGGATGTCGCGGATGGAGGTTTGAGACGCGACCTCGGAATGTCGCGCGGAGGTGACGTCATGCAGATCACAGCTTCGTAGCTTCACAGTCTCACTCCATGATATTTGACGCAGGTCCGGACATTGGGGCAGGCAGCTTGGTAATTACTTTAATTCTGTACTTCTTGATGATCATTATGCTATCTTGCCGCTCTTGCAGCATCGTGGAATCGTGAATCGAACAGCTTCCAAGGTTGCATCTACTGCGACCTGTACTGCTGAATCTCCGCCTCGTCGAGATGCCTTAGCTTGTTTACGCTCGGAGCCTCTCCAGTCGCAATGCCCTTTGCCAACTCAACCAATCCGCCAATCTGTGTTCGCTTGGATACAGCGTATTGTGCGGTGCTGGCCTTGACGCGAATGATACCTAACGATTGGTGTACAAGTCAGTTTATGTTTCACGATTAATCTGCATAGAGTGGTTTCTTACCAATACGGGGGTCCTCGGGTCCACCGTCGTGCTTGCCATCACCAAGGTCACCGATCCACGCCTTGAGCGCGGGGGAGTAGTGCTTACGCACGACCTCGCGGTCAGTCTCAATAGAGGCATGACCAGAAATGGATGCCCATTCACCAGAGCTGTTGATGAAGCCAATGTTGACAGACTTGTGTTCCTTGAGGTCGTCTGTCTTGCCGGACTCGGTGTTGGTGTGGAAGAGAAGGTCGAAGCCGTGACCCTCCTGTGCAGCATACATTAGCGCCTCTTCAATCCCTATGGTGAGCGATTGGTGGCTGGAAAACATACCTTGGCAGCGAGAGCCATGGCTCTTGAAGCCAGGAGGTCGCTGTCAGCAACCTGTGTGGTCAACAGGCAGAACTTGGTCTTGTCGACGAAGTTGAGTAGGTCCTCGCACTTCTCCTTGAGGGAGGGCTCCTCAAGGTTCTTCTGTGTGTAGGGGTCGGCCGTCTTGGAGCCGGTATCCGCGTTGCTAAAGCCAGACATGTTGAAGGTTGTTGTAGAGAATACGCGTTGAGGTGTGGTGTGGTTGTGTGATAGCTGCGGAGATGGCGTCAGCTTCGGTACGCAGTACAATGTCCGAGGACCCTTTCGCGCTGTTCTTGAGATGCACTGAGAAAGAAAACGTGAGTGAAGCATACCTTCTTATGAGCGATTTGTTGGTAGGCAGGTAATTTGTGTGTGAGAGAAGGAGAGGATATGGCTCGACTTTGTATTGATATTGAGTTTGCCCTGATGATGTCATTCGCAGTGGTGCGCGCGTTGGAACCACATTCATCCACCCCACTATGTGGGGTAGCTTCATTTGGTGTCACCCGGCTCTAGTTTTACGGGTGGTCTAGTATGTAGCTCAGGGTCTTGCGTCATGTCATGCTTGTTCAAGCTAGGAATCAAGTTCTAGATGGCTGGGTAGTACATTCACTGTGTTGGACAACAGCCAGGGCGCAACGTTAAAAATAAGATGGTGACATTATCCCTCTAGATCTGCTGCGCGTCTAAAAGAGAAACGTCCTTCATACCCCACTCCGTGACCCCGTCCAATGCCATGCCATGCTGGTATCCCGTGAACAATAGCGGAGAATATACCGATTCCAAGCTAGAAATGAAGATGTGGGCTAGATCCTAGAGTATGCAAAAGCAAATGTCTCGGATATATGACCCAAGTTCCGAGAGGCTAACACCTCTAGTGACAAGTTGTGACATTGCGCGCTTTATGCGTCGGCAGCTGTCTCCTTGTCCTCAATCGACGCCTTCTTGAGGTCGTCAGCAGCGTCTGCCGCGGCGTCCTTCTCCTGGTCGTGCTCGGCCTCGGCGGAAGCGCTGCCGTTGACAGCTTGGTTCTTCTGCGCGGGCTTGCGGGCAGCGTCTGTGCTGCCGTTCGCGGCGTCTTCTTCGGCCTCCTCTGCCTCAAGGCGGTCAATCTCCTTTTGTGCCTTGGCGATGTTCTGTAGATAGTTAGCAGAGTCCTAGCAGTCAGATATATGATGACTTACCTCCTTGGTCTTGCGGTCCTGATCCTCTTTCCAGTGCTTGAGCTTAGCCTGGAGCTTCTCGACGGTGGCAGGGACTTCCTCCTGGTTTGAAGGAGGGTCGACACCGACCTTGGCCAACTCCTCAATGATACCGATGTTGAGGTTGAACTTGCCGGGAGCAGCAGCAGCGCCGCCCTTCTTGCCCTTCTTGCCCTTCTTTCCGCCGGTACCGGCGAAGTAGCTCTCCTCCTCAGTGTCCTTTTTCGATATACGGGTTCCCTTGAGGCCAGAGTCATCGACGGTGCGCTGGGCGGAAGCGGCGAACTTGCTGGCGGCGGTGGTCTCCTTGGGTGGGAGCGCGGAGGGGTCGAAGTGGCGGATCAGGCCCTCGCAGGCAATGATCTCGTCGCCATACGCAGGTGCGCTGGCTTCCTCGAGACGCTTGGCGGCCGTCTCCTTACGCTTGCTGGCAACGTACTGAATCTGCTCCAGACGTCTCTTCTCGTTGCGGATCTTACGGGCCTGGAACTCGTAGTCCTTGAATGCGCGCAGCTGCTGGAAGTAGTTGTCCTTGAGCTCCTTGCGAGCCTGGTACTTCTCCTGCTGCACGGCGCGCGCCTTGTCTGTCTCCTCGCGAAGTGACCTCAGGTTCTTGAAGGCCTCGTCCTGCTCAGCCTTCAGGCCATCCAGCTCGGTCTGGAGCTTGGTGTACTTGTCGCTGAGGGCCTTGTTCTCGGGGTCGTCCAGGAGCTTCTTCTGCTCAGCGATCTGGGCCTTGATGTCGTCAATCTTCTTTTGCTGGCTGTCGAAGCCGGAGAAGTTCTTCTTGGCCTTGTTAAGCGCGCTGATCTCGGCCAGGGCCTTCTTCTCGTCTACCAGCTTCATCATGCCAGTGTCGACCTGCTTCTGCAGACGGGCAATCTCCTGGTCAACATCTTCGGCCGACTTGTAGTTGGACTTGCCCTTGGCAGTCTTGAGTTCGTTGAGCTGCTGCTTAAGCTGCTCGTCGAGCTTCTTGATCTTCTCAAAGATGGCGTTGCGTCCGGACTTGTTACCCTGCTGAGACTGGCGGATGGCGTTAAGTTCCGTCTTGAGCTCCTGCTGGCGCTTTGCGTTGGGCGAGTCCTTGTTGTTGGGCTTGGCGAGGTCGAGCTTGGCTTTGCAGGCGTTCTGTCTGTCGTCAGTAATTTTCCTGTGTGATCTGGTAGTGTGCGATGCAGCCACCCGCCGGCTCATGGCCGTGCGACTGCGCGCATTACACCAGGATGTGCACTCACCAGCTTCTCCTGGGCGGCGGTGTGCTCCTTCTCCAACTTGGCGAGCTCCTCCTTGTACTTGTCCTCATCGGGCTTGTCGGGCTTGACAATCTGCTGCTTTTCCTTGGAAGCAGCAGCGCCGTTGGTGGCAGTGGCCTGGGCGGCGGGTGGTGTTGCGACGTCGGCCATGGTTGCTGTGCAGTCAATTGGGCTGACGAGTTGACTGAGAAATACAGCGGTGGAGGAAGATCTGCGAGACCTAAGTAGACCGCCGAAAAGTGAGGGTGGAGGGCTAAGGGCGGTGGGAGGACAACTATTAAATTCGAGGGTCTCGAGTGAACCACGGGCGACATCCTGGCAACTTTTCCCGAACTTTAGCGGGCGGGCTAGTGCCGCCCGCAGTCTCCATCAATCGACTGGAACATTCACTCGGGCCTCGAACACGCACCCACCAAACCACATGATGGCTGAGCAATCGCGGGGCAAGATCCCCATTCTGCTGCTCAAGACAAAATCAATACCCAAGGATACGTATGAGGAGCTTTTCCTTACCCTTGACGACGGCCGCTATGCACCCGTCTTCGTGCCCGTTTTGGAGCACAGGTTCAAGCGAGACGCCCTGCATGATGTGCGCCAACATGTCACCAACCGCGGCTTCGTGCCAAAGTCGCAGCAGGGCCTCGGGACATATGGTGCGCTGATATTCACCTCGCAACGCGCAGTCGAAGCCTTCAGTGAGGTTGTCGAGGAAATTCGCAAGGAGGGGTCCCTCGACATTGACGATCTGCTTCCACAGAGCCTGCCGTTGTATGTAGTAGGTCCAGCTACAGCCCGCGGTCTGCGATCGCTTGATCTCAAGTGTCCGATCTTGGGTGAGGAGACTGGCAACGGCGAGGCTTTGGCTGGCTTCATCTTGAAGCACTACAACGCCCTCCATCCAGATGTCATGAATCCACCTATACTCTTCATGGTCGGCGATAAGAGGAGGGATATAATACCAAGGACTCTCCAGTCAGAAGAGCTGGATCCAAAGCAGAGGGCGAAAGTAGATGAGGTTGTTATATACGAGACTGGGGAGATGCAGTCTTTCAAGGACGACTTCACTACCATCTGGCGGAGAAATGCCGATCAAGGCTCGACACGGCAATGGGTTGTGGTGTTCTCTCCCAGCGGTTGTCAAGCAATGCTTGAGAGCCTGGGGCTTCTGGATGCGGAGACTGGAAAAGCCAAAGCTAGGTGTACGGCTGCTGATCAGAGAGACATCCTGATAGCTACCATCGGCCCCACTACGCGCGATTACCTAAGACAGGAATTTGGATTCACACCTGATGTATGCGCAGACAAGCCAAGTCCAGAGGGTATCGCAGAAGGCATTGGAGCCTTTCTCAAAAGCCACGAGTGAGAAGAAGCAGCCGTGGTTCTCCTAGTGGCTTCGTATAGGTCGACAGGATTACGCGCGGCTCTCGATATAGGTCAGAGGGTGTTGTATATAAGGTCCATATGGTGGGAAGTTTGCTAGATCACGCACGCGGGTGCGCATCGCAATTCCACGCGCTCTCAATTCGTTTCACACTATCGATCGTGGCTTCTGTACGATGGCTCAAGGTTGCACGTGCCTTCCTGACGCGTCGATGAACTAATTGCTGCCATTGACGTCACCATTCACGCGACGCGCCTGCCACACACTTTCAGTGCGCGCAAACACCCGCCCTCTGCATCATTACTTCACTCATCTATATCACTTTCCTGTTTACAATATTTCACCAATCTGTCTCAGTTCATCTCAATTCATCTCAATTCACACCAGACCCTGTTTCAGCGACAATGGCAGGAACACGCTCTTCCGCACGCAAGACCGACAACAACTCCAGTCCTGCAAAAGGGAATGATGTAGCAGCTGGCACCAAGCGCAAGCCAGAAGTTGAGCCGTCCCCAAAGCGCGATCGCAAAGCGTCGAAGAAGCAGGCGACTATCGAGGAGACAATGGACGCAAGCAAGTTGTCAGATAGCGACACGAAAGACGCTTCTGACGACGCCGAGGACACAAAGCAGGAAGAGCAATCGGAAGAGCAGGCCCAAGCGGCAGCTGCTGAAGACCTTGTCGACGCAAGCGACGCGAAAGCATTAGCCACTGGTGACGAGAAGCCTTCGACGACTGAAGAAAACACTGAAGCCGCACCCAAGGCCGATGAGATCACAAACGGAGGGACCACACAAGAGAACACCCCGGAGCAAGATGACAGCGCTCCCAAGGAGCCTACTGCAGACGGCGAAGGCGCAATCGAGTCGTCCTCCCAGCGCGCCAAGCAAATGCCATCCAACATCCTCGAAAAGGGTGTCATTTACTTCTTCACCCGTAACCGCGTCGGCATCGAAGAATCGGAAAGCGTCGGTGACCTCCAACGCACCTTCTTCGTCCTACGCCCCATGCCTTCTGGAGCCAAACTAGGTGACGGTGCACTCGCCGACTCCAACAACATCCGGCTCTTTGCGCTCCCCAAGAAGGTCTTCCCCAAGTCACACAACGACCGCTTCATGGCGTTTGTCGAGAAGGCGAACACGTCCATCAAGGAACTGAAGGAGACTTTCTTTGGCGCAAACGAGTACGAGACGAAGACACAAGGGAGTCGGCGCACAGAGCCTGTTGCGCCTGTTGCGGAGGGTGTATACGCGATTACACGTACTGAAGACCGCACATGCCATCTCGTTTACTCCACCACCATACCTTCTGAGCTTGGCGAGGTGCAGGAAGACCTCGGTATCAAAGATCAGGGTAGCTTCATCATGAGCGTTAAGAACCCTGAACGCAGTGGCCCAGCTTCTGCTCAGCTGGACCAGAAACCTGGCTTTCCCAAAGAGTAAGTAACTCGTTTATCAACAAATGTTCTTGACTGACCACAAGCAGGTTTATTGACGAATTCCGTGGATTGGCATGGGTCGAGGTCAAGCCCAAGTACTTAGACTACGAGTACTGCCAGATTCTGCTTATCGGCGAGAAGATGGAGGCCGGTGTTGAGCCGACGACCAAGGACCAGAAGCATGACAAGGAGACTCCGCAAGAGGAGATTGAGAAGTTGGAACATGAGGATGAGCTAAGAGTTGAGCATCTGCATGGTGACGACTCTGTTTATGACGATCTCAAGATTAGCAAGAAGGAATATCCTCAGGTTGCTACTACTTGGTAAGCTCGATCTGGAGCTTGATCTTATGAGGCATCGGACGATGTGTTTTTTATCTGCTGTACGAGGTGTGGGCTGTGGGCGTTTGACGGCGCAGGGTATATCACTGGACGGCTTTTTGGGGATGGGGAGTTGAATGGTGACGGTTAAAAGAGCGGATCCAGGATTTGGCTTCGTTCACAGACTTCGTAACGTGGAATCGTATTGTGCCTTTGCAAATTGCTTCACACCCGTCGTTGAACCCGCTCACATGCAAAGCTTCCTATCGGTCACGCTGAAATGAAGAACACCTGAGTGGACCACGGTAACATTGCTCTCTCCGCTTCTCAACCCCGTACACTCAGAGCGCGTAACCCATATGTAAGTTATACTTCTTGTTATATTCATCCTGCACCAAAGCGCCTTTCAAACTCGAGGTCGGTGGAAACGTTACAGTAGTGTTCAGCCTTCCATTTATACCTCGGCTCTCCGCCATCCAACTCCCTTAGACGGTATACTCTCCCATCTTGAAAGGTGTCGGGCGGCACTACTGGTGCAGTATTAAACATTTTCCAACATGTATCCTCGCCCGCCATAATGATAATCCCTGCACAGTGTGTGTCGTCCTTGCTTTGACGGAAGATGGTACTCCACTCTAGCGTATCTAAAACCGGCTGGTAGGAAGGATCATCCAGAACTTCTATGCGCTGTTCCAGCCAATTCATGTCGATAGATTCTAGGATCCGCTGTTGAGAACTATCTCTAGTCGAGATACAGTTCTCAATGTCGCGGTGGTAGCCCCTCATTCTCTTCGCAATGCCACTAAAAGAAGTTGTCCGATCGAGAAGGCGGTCGTCGAAACGAATGTGAAATTGTGTCCGAGATCTTTCCTCGCCATCCGCACGCGGATTTAGGATACTCAGCGCCATGTGCACGAAGCGCATGCGAGGAGGGCAGTAGATGGTAATGCTAGGGTAACGAAAATGAGGTGGAACCACGATAGCTTTCATCATTCGGGAAGCGGTGATTGCGTTTGCGGTCGTGACCTGAGGAATTTTGTAAATGGGGTAGAAGGTCTTGTCTGTCTTTGGAAGCCATGCTATCAATGCACTTGTGCTGCATAGCACGAGTACCTGCGTGTCTGTCTTCTCATGCGGGGTGTCTGCGCGAGTAAGCATAAAATCGACGTCATAACTATGGCAGAGATGCATGTACCGAAAGTTTTCAGTCTAAGACGACTAGAACTACTAGGACTGCTCTGTCTCGTATGAGGTGGCGGGTATTGGGAAACGGCGAGTTGTGATGATTCATACGCAATCCCGTTGATATCTGGCAGCATTTGACCATGATCCTGACCTGGAGATATTCCTTCTGCAACTTCTTGGCGAGGACAAACCTGCATCCACTTTTGGATATCTTCTCGCCCCTCAGGTGTTAGCCGATTCTGATTGTCAAAGTAGGTGCTCGCAGAAATCGCAGAACTCCTCCAATCTGTATCGGAACACGTCTGCTCAATAACTGTCAGCATCTTGAGATCCGACATTGATTGCGTCTCTTCCCGAATAAGCTGTCCCTTGAGTATCGTTGATCTGGAAGATATTGTGATCTCACCAAGCCCATCCAGCAAATCCTTCAAATCTTGAATCAAGGCGGCAAACTTCTTTGAATCCCGAATGGCCCAACGAGTCTTCTCCACAAGCCCTACTTTTCTAATATGCTCAGAGAATCCCGTATGAAATTGGACCAGTGGTGAGCTCTCAAAAGACAGCGAGCAAACCGCGCTGCCCTGAACTATTGCTTTCGAACTATTTTGCGTTGAGGATGTTTTCTCCAGACCATACTTCGACTTTAGATTCTGCGTTTCATCGAACAGTCTCTGAACGTTTGATAGTATTCTCTCGACCAGTGTCCGCGTTTCCAGGTCATCCAGAAGAGGATCTCGGTCCTGATCCGGCCTGAGTATACCCACTGCTTCGCCCCAGACCATCAATCGCCGCTTCTCTATACTGAGCTTCACAACCATAATCTCATAGTCCACGCTAGTCTTCCGGCCAATTTCAATCAGATCGAAACATTGTATACACAGAGAGAAAAGGCCAGCCAGGGAAACTGCACCAAGAGTAAGGCTGACAGGCTCCATCAGAAACTCAGGCTACAATGAACGTAGAATGTTGTGGGCTAAGCTTGGCCGAAGTGTTCTTATTGCAAAGAAGTAGGACTTTAGACAATGAAGGTGTAATAGCGAGTTGATAAGGAGTTGGGCAACAATAGATACAAGTTCAGCTGAGAAAAAGCTGGCCTTTAAGAAAGCCTTGGCAAGAAGCCTCAGGTAGTAATTGCAAGACGTAACAGGATCTATTCTAAATTTAGCAGCTGACACTCAACGCAGCCTCGTGCGGGGTAAGATGCATTCATCACGCCATTATATAAGCTGTGTCTCCTTTAGGGCTCTCTCAATTGATTTAACATTTTAGAGTAGGGTTTTAATCTCCCTTATTGTGTCGCTTAGCCTCGTTCATAAGCTTAGTAGCATAAAGCAACATACTATCTCCTACTCGTTTGACTAGGTGATCGATAAATCTAACCTCACTCCATTCACTGTCCTTCTATTATGGCTTCAATAAATCTATGACTAGGACTGACAAGCACCAAAATGTTCAACCACAAGTGTGACACCAACGTTGAACCAGTTTCATGCCATGGATGGCCGAGACGAAAGACCTCGTGTAGGTCCAAGATAAATTCTATATCAGGGTGAACCACTCATCGTCCTCGTCTGATCCTCTTTCCCAAAACTCGCCGTTCAGAATCCCTTCCACAAAAGCATGACCAATGAAGTTGAAACCCCCTGCACAAGGCCTTATAAGACAGGGCACCTTCATACCATGGAATACAACCAACAAATCTCCGACCTTGACATTGTAATTACTGATGCCCATGCAGAATTTGTTTGCTGTATGGAAAACCAAAGTCCATTGGAATAGGTGCATTGTACTGGAAAATTCATCGATCGCTTCGAAATTGTCGTCCTCGCGATCAATCTGATATGTGATTAAGTCTCCATCGCTCTTTCTTGTGTGGGTTATTAGAGAGATATTTTCGGCTACTCGATCAAGAGATTGGAAATCAGAGTACGCGCTTTCGAAAAGACCAGCAAGGTCTAAGATTGCCACGAGTTCGTCCGCAAGATTCGTGCTGCTGTCACGATTCTTGTTACGTTGTAAGGCGACTTCGAACGAGGAGTCAATACAGCTTATGAATCTCTCGACGTTCTGATACGCAACCTCAATGGTGGACATGTTTTCAGTGTTTGTCAGGGGAGGTACGGCGCGCCAAGGTTCGCTGACAGCCGCGACGTAGTCGAATCTTCTTCCTTTGACTTCGAGGTGCCTTCCGTCTAGGATGAAATTCCACATACATTGAGACGCCCCAGAACACTGTTTGTCCGTAGCAAATCCTGTAGCCAATTCTGGCGGCTTCAATAGACTGGGTGTACTTGTAGACCCGGAGAAGTCCGGCACCCAAGATGGAAATCCTGATTTTCCGACCGCTGGACCTATGGCCATCGTCATAATTTTGAGATCTTTGTCTTTCCGAAAAGAAGCAACTGTAGCTTCAGTATAAATCTGAGCAACACTTTTCTTGTAGTCTGGAGCTGGCCAATCCAATCTTAATCTCTTAGCACACCCATACATCCCATAGATCTGATCTTCTGGTCGTGTAGCATTCAGATCTGCTGTTGTCATGAGAAGTTCTGAATAATCGACATTCGTGTCTGTTCCCTGCTCTTGTTGCCAAAGATGGTACATGGCCCAACGATGACCGCGGATATACGTTCTCCAGCGGAGTGCTATTATATCCAGCTTTGAATATGGAACAAGTGTGAAATCCGCTGCGTATTGCAGGTCCATAAAGTCGAATGTGTGTTCCCCACAATAGTATACTACTCTTCGTGCTAGTACAACCTCTTGGAAGACCCAGACTCTCCAGAACCAGGGCAAGCGAAACAAAGGGTAGAGTTTGCTAAACGGAAATTCTGGGGAAGATTCTAATTGACATCAGCAACTTGATTGTAACCAGACACAAGAGACTGCCAGTGTATTCTCAAAAGTCATTCTCATGCAATTTACTATTCCTTCAAGCAGGTCAGGGGTAGAGAACTTACCAAGGACTTCATCGGCAACTTCGTCGTAGTCCCTCCTCGTTGTCTCTTTCCCCACCCCAGTTCTCTCCGCTTCCAATACAGCCATACAGGCAGCTGCTAGCCTTTTCACTGCTTTGCATGCTTCATCAGTCTTCTCGTCTTCCTCACCCAGATGCACATTCACCTGTATCGCTTTACTGTAAATCTCATCCATTAAAGCAACCTGTGCGTTTCTTTCTTGGACGGCCTGAGTATCATCTTGAGATCTTGATCAACGCAATAGATTGGAAGGTTACGGTGCACATACCGGCCTGGTTTATACAGATCGCATCTACCCAGATCAATATCTCAGACTTGCCTTTAAGCATCCGTCGTAGTGCAGCTCCGCATGATTGCGTTATCTCCAACTCTCGTTCGTCGATCAAAATGACATCTCTAGGTGAAAGATCGCCCCAAACATAGGACAACGCGAAATACTGTGGAACATCATCGAGGGAGGTCTCCACGAGAGTACCATGTAACACCTGGTTTTGCCAAGTTCTCGACTTCCCACAAAAGGAACTCGTTAGATGCAGGATTCTGAAATTACACGAGCGATTCAGAGGCGCATGTGTAAAAGTGCCGAAATTCTTACGATGTAGAGGGCGAACATGAAGCGTTCGACTGTTGAGCCAAGGATTTGGAATTGGAATGGCCCATAGCTTATGCGAATGGTAGCGGGAATTCGAAATGAAGGAAGAAAGGGATCGTGTCAAGCACATATCAGATGCTGGACTATGTGAGCTGAATCAGCGTCCTGCTTTGGTCCTCAGTATTGGTGCACGTGGTGTTGGTAGAAGAAGTAGAAGCATGGTCAGGCGGTGCGAAGTCCAAGCGCGCGGTAACCCAGAAATACGGAGGGGACACATCTATAAGAAGTTCAGCGCCAATCAGGCAGCAAAGACGCCTGTAGATCGCTTAGAGGATCAGCTGTGCGCATGGCTGCATTCTAAAGTGCATGCGAAAGGCCGAAAGAGCTGAAAATCTAGACTCGGGACATTGAGGAAGGCCGTTTGGAGTAAGCACTAATCCTTTTTGTGCTTAAGGGCGGGTCTGGGTTAACGAACAAATCACTCTCCGTTGCTAAGCCTCCTTCCCCACATGTGCAACCTCTGTGCCTTTGTTGTCGCAACCAGACATATGTTCTTTCCGCAGGGTTAGTATATGCATCATTTTAGCTAAACTGCGACCTGACTACTGGCAGTTACTCTCATGAACTCGTGGACTAGGGACTCGTACCACGAGACGATGCGAAGCTGATAGCAGTCGTGTAGCCTTTCGTCTACGAGGGATGGTCTATAACAACACCAAATCCTGACATCACTGACGCGCAAAGACGAAATAGACGGAGGCCTACAACGTCAAATGTCCAGGAGGCAAGAGCTATCATAATCGAATTACGACAAATCGCATTGTCAGCGCAAGGCAAGCGGAAAAGCACAGGTTCTCAGATAGAATATCTCTCATTTGGTTTCTCTTCCCAACAAAAATTCTACTGTACTACCATGACCATCGAATGACGACCTAGTCACAATTGCAACATACGAAAACCCATTCTCTTCTCACCAACGACTGTCGTCAAACAACCAGCGTGGAACCCCTAGGATGTACAAGACTGACGGTACCAAAGTCCCGCAATCGACACATCAAGATTACACTGCTCATTATACGGCACGACCCAGCACTGCAAAGCGTCATTCGCAGCCGGCGATCTAATCTTAACAATGACATCGCAACGCAGATGATTGACAATTCCGGCAAAAGTGTTTGGTCCATATCTCCCGTCCTTGAAAGCGACCGTGACTCTGGCTTGGTTGTGTTCCGGGTCGTTTTTCCCGTTTGATTGCACGGCGATGTCGGGACCGTTGGGCGCGGAGCACCGGCTTGTTTGGAAGCAGGCAGTGGCGCTGGAGGCGAGGATGGCGAGGGAGAGGAAGCGCATTGTGAGATGGGTCTGTGGGGGGTTAGTAGGGGAGAGTTGAAGGGATTGGTAGGGCTGTACATCTTGTTCAGGAAAGAGTGTATGTGTTGTTTCTTGGGAATTGTAAGCGGTGCTGAGTTGATGTGCGAAAGTGATGGTAGATTTGTTTGGCAGATAGAAGTCATGATGTCGAGCGGGTGTTATATACTGACTGCCCAGGTTCATGACCCAGGAAGATACACCGCCTACACACGTTCGTGAAGTTACGAAGAGTGAAGATTACTCAAGGTTTGATATGGCCTCCAGACCCGCCTCACAAACTGTACGTTGTACAGGTATAAAGTTGCGCTGGCAAGATGTTGGCCAATAGGCGCAGGCGGAGGGAGACTAGCGCCTCATTCATGACTTTGTAGTCTACTAGAACAAGGTAACAACAAGTAAGCTTACTGAAACATTCCCGTACCGAGGCCCATGCGTTCCCTTCGTACGGCCGCAACGCTGTCTCTTACGGTAACCACCGCAATTCACAAAACGACAAAGATATCTTACAAGTGTCGGACGCTATGCCCCTCTTGTTTGGCTGAATGTAACTGAAACTGCAATATTTGGACCCAGGTCCACTCTGCAGTATCGCAGCAAAGCCTACTTCACACAGTGTCGAAACCGGAGTATATGCCATATCGTGGTAACAGCACTCACGGCCAATGCAATATCTTTTGCTCATGTGCCGGTCCGTGTCTGACTAGGAGGATACAGCCTTACACCGCTACACAATGGAACAAAAAGCTACAATTGATTAATGAACAGCCACTAATCAGCGCACGGGATAAAGCATATCCTTAGCCAGGCTGACACCGACAGCGCACTTGAACCTTATACCTAAATAAAGCTACTCGACACAGTAGGAGTTGAGGAGTTGAGGAAGACCAAAGCAAGTAAACTATCCAACATCCAACAATCCACTCACTACGATCCAAAAACTCATATTGTGTAGAAACTTGTCATTGATAAGTACTACTACTAATACTTTGTCAAATATATACATATGTATAGTCAAACCAAAATATGTCGTTGAAAAAAAGCTATAACCTACTTGAAAAAAACAGAAAACGAAAAGGGGGTATCAAAATGGCGAAATCATCCACAAGTAATGGAGAATAAAGACCCAATTGTGAAAAAAGGGACCCTTGTGTGACCGCCCAATCCAAACTCCTTTTCATCTCATATGTGGGAGATTTTTCTCTTTCCCAAACGTGAACGCTCAAAATCTTTCTTCTTTCTCCGTTTCTTTCCTTCTCTTCTTCACTCCCCCATCCTCCTCGTCTTGGGACTCTTCTTAGGCGGCTGCTGATTATTAAACCCATCGCTCGTCCTCGCCCTCTTCAAATTGCCCTGGGGATTATTGTGATATTGTCCTTGTCCCCCCGTTCCACCCCCCCCCATGCTGCTCTGGCCCGCCGCCCTACTACCCGCCATACTCGCCTTCTTTGCAAGTCTAGCCGCCTCGCGGACGCCCGTCACAGGAGAGTTGAATCCACTTCCACCACCCGCCGTCGCCGCACTACTGCCCGCCTGAATATCCTCAGCAAGGCGATCCGCAAGTGCAGCGTCGTACTCTCTCTCGCTCGCCCTGACAGCAGTAGGATCCTGCTTTCTCGCCGTCGCCAACAAGTCAACGGACCCATCATCACTGTCTTCGTAGTCTGATTCGCTGCCCTCTGATACATCAGAAGCAATAGGCGCAATGTTCAAAATCTGCATAGCCGTCGCAGGCCCCCCAGAATCGCTGTCGCTGTCGGGCTCCGAAGACGCATCGGATGCAAAATCGCTGTCTACGTCGCCGGAGGAGCAGGAATCGAGGGGCAGGAATGATGCAGGTGGGAGCGTGGACGAGGGCAGGTTTTTGCGAGATGCCGAAAGAATCTTCTCTTCAATCACCCTGTGCGGGCTCGATCGCGGGGATTCGACTTCGGGAGATTCAGATTGTAGGCGGGAGTTGAGTGCGTCCTGGATGGCTTTGGGGTACAAGTGTGACATCCTCCTTGAAGCGCCATGCGATGGCGCGGTAGGAACTTGTGATCTTCTCACATGGATAGAGAAATTATCTTCTGGTTGTACGCCGCCCAGACCAGAGGCTTCGAAATCCATGAGTTCAGGGGAAGTGTTCCCGCTGTCGTCCCGAAAAGCCTCAGGCGAAAAGCCTAGGTCGTCGCCGCTTGAAACGGTGCGTGAACCAGCCACGGAGTCAACGTCCATGGGTGTAGCGTCCAGAGGGCCTCGGGGCTCGGATAGATCCATGGATGTCTTGGTCTGTGGGGACGTGGTCTGTTTGGCGCCAAGAGGCTGGGTTGTGATGGGTTGGTAGTTACCAGGCATAGTGAGGAAAGCACCGTTACGGTCTCCACTCAGATCCGTGCAAAATTTGGCCTTGGTGTAGAAGATCATGGGTCCGTCGTCGCGTCTCCTCGGCTTTGAACTCGAGCTCTGCATAATCGAACTACTAAGGCCAGAAGAGTTTCCAGCAGGATGTGGCTGATAAGAATAATTGGCTGAAGATTCCGCGTCGAAAGCGTAATAGTCGTCCTCGTTCTCCGATTCGTCCTTGTGGAAGAAGAGAGGCTTGTAGGCGAACTTGTTTTGCTCCTTCTCGCGCTGCAGCCGAGCCTGTCTTTTTGCTTTTTCGGATTCGTCGAGCATATCGCTGCTGGTGCCGCTGGTGCCCGTCTTCATTCGCTTGAACGGCGAGAGGGAGCCTGTGTCGTTTGGTGAGGCACCGCTCCAATGCTCGGACGAGCTGCCACTGCTGTGCTTGGTGACGTCGAGACCGCCCTTCCATCGAATCTTGCGTCCATCGCGAGACATTTCGAGATGGCTGCTGTACTCGTGCAAGGCATCCTTGACAAACTCGGGGGTGACGTTGAGCGTGTGCAGTTGCGCCATGTTGATGAGCAGGTTGAGGTATATCCACCCATGGCCGAGAGGTGCATCTCCGGAGTTCATGTCTGGTGGGGAGAATCCAAGATGGCGGATGTAGTTCATGTTCTCGGCAGGCACCTGAGCACGGTAAGGGTCCAAGTCAAGCGGTCGCGTAGGTCGTTGATCAGGGGAGGAGCCGGAGCCGGCAAAGTCGTGTTCCTCGATATGTAGACTGGGGCGGAATCCGTGGATAACTTCGTCCTGGGGCGTATCGTTGTCCTCGGCAGCAGCAACGGCACCTTTGTCGTTCCTGATACGTGCTTCGCGCTGGCCCTCGGGCTTGAAGTTTTGTCCAGTTGCTTCGCGCTGCTCACGGTCCGCAGTAGCTGCCGACTGAGCTACCTCCTGCTGCTGCATCTGCTGGGGGTGAGAGCCGGCTGCGGATCGCTTGCCAGCGAAGATTTGCTCCAGACGACGTACGACCATCTTCTTCTTGGACTTGTCTGTCATTGGAACGCTCTTGGTGTTTGGTAGCAGGCCCATGGGGATGTCGTGAAGGTACGACTGGATAGTTTGCTGTTGGCGGCTGTATGCGGACTTGGTCATCTTGCGGCGGTCCGAGTCTTGGTTGGTTGCGGATGAGTTGTGGCCAGAGGCGGAGAGGGAGGCATAGCCCGACTCGGCGAAGCGGGAAGTCGAAGAAGCCGTGTTGTGTGTTTGGAGGGCCGGGGTGTAGGCAGAGATGTCGGCGTACTCGTTGGCGGTGCCTTCATCGAGCTCGGAAGCGAACTTGCGTAGAGTCTCCTCGAGTTCCTTCTTCTTGTGGTCTGGCAGACCGTGGAACCTCACCTCGAACAGCTTCTCTTCTTGCAGGTGGTCATCGTAGAGCTTCTCGTACTTGCGCAGTTTCTGCTTGAGCTTCTTGTTGGCAACGGTCAGGTCGTCGATGACGCTTCGGAAGTCCTCGGTGCTGCTGCCGTCGGTGCCCATTTGGCCAAGTCCAGGGCGGTATGGGATGGCGGGATGTGCGTGGGCATACTGCGAGTTTTCGGGCGGTGTCTCTGACGAGGACGAGTTCTGGAGGAAGAAGGGCGGTTCATCTAGACCTCACAGTTAGGCATCGCTCGGCAGCGAGGTGGGTGGTGGTTCAACTCACTGTCGACAAACGACGATTTGCCGTGGCTGGCCGTGTTGTTGGTCTTCTCGAACCACTGGCCGGCGTCGCTGCTCTCGCCGGAACTGGTCTTGTTGGAGAGCAGCTGTGGCGAGACGCTCGACGGGGGATTGGCCTTGTCGCTGGCGAGGTTTGGCGAGCTCTGTGTCGTGGTCGAGGCTCTGGCTTTCCGCTTGGACGAGGCGGGCGGGCTGTGGCGGAGGGAGACGGACTTGTAGGCTGGTGGGCGGCGTGGGTGGGATTGCGCAGCGGCAGGAATGGTTCCTGGACGCTCGTTCATCATGGCTGCGGTGCAAAGGGTTGGCGGGTCTACTCCGGGAGGATGTTCTCCATGTGCGCTAGGTGGTGAGTGTGAATGCTGCTCGAGTGCTGGGCGGGGCTGTCGAATAGCAAAGTTGGCTGGGGAGATTGTAGGTTAGTGAGTTCGAGGCCATGATGGGCATACATCTTCATGTCGACGCCCGTTTCGATGCTCTCGATTTCTACGATGCCAAGAAACTGCATGGGGATCGAGTGTACCTGGGAGAGAGGCAGCATGTGGCGCTCCCGGGGCTAGAAGCAAGCGACTATCACCCGCGCAATCGCCGATTGCATCGACTCTCTCAACCCAGAGACTGCCAACCTGAGACCCTTTGCCAGCTCTCGATGCCTCGATGCCCCTCGACATCGCTGATTCATCTCCCAATCGCTGATGGCCGTGGCTTGATGCTGACACCTGTACACATTGCCCCGTCAAAGCAACTGCACTGCGCGTCCATGCGACGGGTACTAGACCCACATCTGGCACTCTGAACACAACAGCACAAGATGCCCTGCCTCCATCGAGATTGCACACAACTAGCTCCGCCTATCCCCTCTAAAAATGAGGTCACTTTTGCAACGGCTGGGACGCGCACATCGATTCCCTGGACCCTGATCTGACCTTGGTTGTTCGGCTTCCTGAGCCTCGCGTGTTTGATTGGCGTCTCTGCTACTGCACTTGAATCGAATGCGCCCTGCTCAATCGCCCTGGGCATCGCCCATCGAGCGGCTGGTCACAAATCAAGGGTCCAGCTGCACCGCTGCGCCAATCCTTCCCTCTCACGCATACGTTGCAAACGGGTCTCGTCACGCCTGGATACGTCTGGATCCTCAGCTGTTTGCCGTCTTGACCGAGCTACTGACCATGACTGCTGCCCGTATCCCAGAGTGCGCCGCGAATATTTTTTGTTCTCACGAGTGGGGTGATGCCACTTTCTATCTAAGATCACCGATTGAGCTCGGATCGCAGATTACTTGTTACAGTAACTCCAAGGCAGGGCCGCTCCGGAAACACCTTCCGGTCAAATCATCGAACTGAAACCCAAATATCGTTTCGTAAGTCTATCAGGTGCACCACAGCATCACCGACACTAGTTACAGACTTAGTGTCCCCATAGTTCGACGGTTTTGGAAGGTATGGGAAAATTGGAGGACATGTTCGTACAGTAATTGCGACATCTGACATCTCATCGAGATCGATTGTGCAATGACGTCGTCGCTAGTGTAGCGAGGGGAAAGAGAAAAAAGTAGAAACATATAACATAGAAAGGAGGCTCGGTGAAGCACACCGAAATATATGATATAAAAAATAGGTTCGGTCAAGCGCGCCGAGCACACGGGTCAAATACCCGTCGATTGCATTTACAAAATCAGATGCGCGCGCCCTTGCTCCTCAGTACGTTGACGGCAGAATGACCCTTGTAATTGAGCCATTCGCCCAGTCCACCCATGAACCCACCAACCTTGGTGAGATCTTGTAGTCTATTGTCTAGAAACTGTTCCGTCTCGACAAAGTTGGCCGACTTATCCTGCGTCATGTACATCTCAGTCGAAGAGTAGATGGCAGAGAGGGTCGCGCGCTTGGTGTACCAGCTGCTATCCACGCTCTGGTCGCCAGACAGGAACCAGACCTCGTCCGCGAGTCTTGCAAGTTCGGCCAAGGACGCTGGGACGTATGTGGGTTGGGCCATAATTGCAAGTGCCTATCAAGTATCAGCTGGCTAACCTTGACTCTCATCTACTCATCCTCCTACCTCCTGCCATCGATGTATGACGGGTTCATTTGCTCGCAGTCGCGCCAATGTCAAGGTCCTGACTTTGGCGCCAACGCCCATTTTCTTTCCTTGCTCTCCTTGTTCTGGGAACTGAACATTGTTCTGTAGAGCCAGCCGCTGAGTGACGAGATGGTAATTGATCAAATCGAAAACACCTCTGGGAAGCAAATTGGTAGAAACATCGAGATATCCCGCATCTCTTGCACCGAGCTTGAGCGCATCTATAGTAAACCCATGATTTGGTACGTGCGCGTATGCGGAAGAAAGTATCGCAGATTCGGCGGGAGGAAATGGCGGCGGTTGAGCGTAGTCATACGAATGGGATAGGCACCGCTGTGTTGAAGCGGCTGCTGGACGAACACATGTTGTTCGAAGTGAGGCTGTTCGGAAAGTTCCGAGCAGCCCGTTGGCTAGTCGTGCGGGTGGCATGTTTGAGGTGCAATTGAAGTTGTTCGGATCATCCGATGCGAACGAGTGCTCTCTTCTCCGCAAATCTGCCAAGACTGAAATCGATCAGATCTCCACGCTAACCTCTCTGACGTCGGTAGTCGATCAATTACAACGTCGAGTTTCAACATCGATCTGCATCGGGACGTGTGTAGGGATAGACCTCGACGGCAAAGATACTGCTCCACGTGGAAATTAGTTATTGTTCCTGAACCTAGGAGATTAGCGAGCTGTGTGGCTTCTTACAGGGCAAGTTCTCGATTTACACGTCAACACGTGACACACGCGTCGAGCGCGTCTGCCCGCGTACGCTAGTGGCAACACCTAGAAATCCCATCTAGCATCTGCCTGACAGTCCACAAATCCCCTGACATTGCGTACAGCCTTCGCCATCCGATCTTCAGGAACCCATCGGTTACCCCGCAAATCTTGGAGGCGACATCCAACGACCGAAAACGCGATTCTCGCGACCCCACGAATCGCACGCGCATCGCGCCTCACGCGTTCCACCACACCTCTCAGTCGATCGTTTCGCCACAGGTTGGAAATCAACCCCTTGCCTTTTTCCAAACAAAAATCGTAGACGATTTACAATGGCGCGCGGGAAGAATGTCGAGATCAGCGAGTATGAGCGGAAACGGCAGGAGAATATTGCAAAGACGCAGGCGCTGCTGCGCAACCTAGAGATGGAGGCGGCAGAAGCCGGCCTAGGTCCTACTGGCAAAGCCAAAACTTCTGTACCTTCGAGACCAAAAGTGAAGAAACCCGCGCCGAAGAAGATCAAGCAAGAAGAAGTTGCGCCGCGTAGAACATCTTCTCGATTAAAAGGCATAGTGGCAGACAGTGAGGTCGCAAAGCGGAAAGCAGAGGATGAATACGTCGCATTGCAAGCTGCGGATCGTGCAAAGCGACAACGCGTTAGTGATGCGTTCAATTTCAGCGACATAGTCGTCGCAGGCAAGGACTGGGATAAGAGTGGAAACTTCCTCTCAGTCGGCCCTGCGGATCCATATGCGCGGACATTCGACTACAATGACGTGAAGGAGACTACAGACAAGGAACTGCGTGCCCTCAGAGAACGCATGAGTGGTCTGACACTATGGGAAGACTTCGAGCCGAATGAGATCAAGATTACACCGGAGCGTATATACTCCATGGGTCTCCATCCTACAACAGACAAGCCCCTAGTCTTTGCTGGCGACAAGCTAGGCAACCTAGGTATCTGTGACGCGAGCCAAAAGGTGGCAGAAGTCAAAGTGGAAGATGACGAAGATGCGGAGAGGGAGGGACCCACCATCACCACATTGAAACCACACACAAGAACCATTCACACCTTCCAATTCAGTCCCCACGATGCGAATGCGCTTTACACGGCCTCGTACGATTCCAGTGTGCGGAAACTAGACCTCGCCAAGGGTATGGCGGTGGAAGTATACGCGCCGTCTGACAAGGACGAAGAGGCGCCCTTGTCTGGACTCGAAATATCAAAAGACGATGCAAACACGCTCTACTTTTCCACACTAGACGGTCAATTTGGCATTTACGATATGCGCACGCCCAAGGAAAAGGCAGCGGGCTTGCAAATCTTCCAGTTGAGCGACAAGAAGATTGGAGGGTTCACGCTGCACCCCCTGCACCCTCACCTCGTTGCCACGGCGTCTCTAGACCGCACGCTCAAGATCTGGGACCTGAGGAAGATTAGTGGCAAAGGGGAGAATCGGTCGCCGGCGCTCGTCGGGGAGCATACGAGCAAGTTGTCCGTGTCGCATGCTGCGTGGAATTCTGCGGGGCAGGTAGCCACCGCTTCTTATGACGATACGATCAAGATCCATGACTTTGGTAATTGTGCAGACTGGAAGGTCGGGGTGGAGATGGGGGAGGAGGAGATGGAACCGAGTGTTGTTGTACCGCATAACAATCAGACCGGACGATGGGTTACCATGTAAGTTGCCCGGCTACCCTTTAAAAAGTTTTCTTTTTGCTAATAAGAACTGCTAGATTACGAGCCCAGTGGCAGCAGTCGCCTCAAGACAACGTCCAGCGCTTCTGCATTGGCAATATGAACCGTTTCGTTGATATTTACACGGCGAAAGGACAGCAGTTGGCTCAGCTGGGGGGCGAGGGTATCACGGCGGTGCCGGCTGTTGCAAAGTTTCACCCTACTATTGATTGGGTGGCTGCTGGTACTGCGAGCGGAAAGCTGTGTCTGTGGATGTGAAGGAAGACGGAGAGGAGTAGAAATGCGAAAAAGGGAACAGAAGGGGAAGACGAGACTTGCATTTTGATTTACAAGAGTGAGTGCTGGTTATTTTTGGGTTCATGTTTCGTCGTTTTTGATACCCTAGAGGTCTTTGTAGTTGCACTTGCTAGTTTCGTTGCATCTCCTTTTGTTCTTTACGCTTGAGCCATGATACTTCTATCACGGTAGTTTCGGTTGGGGTACTTGGAATGCTCTTCTGGATACTGGGTTAAAGGCAACTTGTTAGGCCGTATGTCTAGAATCGTTATCTGAAGTAGTCATCTTCATATTGATTGCTGTAGGGATGGTGAATGCAAATAATGCATCTGCAGCTCTACTATCGTCACCACGTTTTACCAAACCCCTCCATACAGATAAGAGAGTACGTCAACTTCAGGTTCGTGGTGATAAGTCGTGCAACGGCTCATAATCGCGTTCTTCTTCGTTGCTTGATGTTCCTCGTGGTAGTGAGCTTACAATTCACCCGCAGTCTTTGCTATTGCGCGCTTACTAGACTTCTTCGATGCTTGGAAATGTCCGTGTAAGCTGTGTTTCGTTGCGAAGAAAAGTAAAGACCCTTAGCTCAGACTGCCTAGGTGCTTCTATTCTCTGATCATTAGAGTTGTGCTTTGATCTGCGGAATGGCTGTGATGGCTTTGGCGTCTTTTGCTGGACCGAGCGATGTGCCCTTTCCGTAACTTGACGTCCACAAGATCTTTCCTAGTTGCACACTTCCTATTCTCTTGGGTCGTCTCCACATCAGTTGTGTTACTCCACTCTCTGTTCTCGTCCGACGCTACGGTCTGCGAACGTACTCCGAGTAAATGCCTCTCATGCATGAGTCGTAATAGCTTAGTGAATTATTGCATCATCGGAATATCGATTTTGTGCGATACATGCATGTATTCGATCTATTGTTTTTGGAATACCGTGGTATCTGTGCTGCGGTGCTATCTTTTTCTGCCGAATTGAGCAGTATCTTCCATAGTATCGACCGGGGGCGGAGGGTCGGCCCATGCAAAACTCAAAGTACGGTAGCCTCATGCCTGCCATGAGCAGTCTTCTGTCTGCTGCTGTGAGAGATGTCAGGTACTGCAACTCGACCTAAATTCTCCGGAGAAGCTATAAGCTTAATAACGCTCTGTCATTGTAACACAAAGCCATCATCAAGCTGCTACTGGAACGTAACCCTACCTACCGCTTTCCCTTTTCGCGCCTTCTGTTCATGCGACCCCTAAATAACCGGTCGTATCGACTAACGTTTACCCCAAAGGAAGCTGCTGGAGGCAATACGAGATTTGGTGGATCTCGTATCTCCGGATGCGGCGATGGGGACGGTAGTGTAGGAGCACTAAGGTAGCGGGTGTGGCACCAACAGCGGGGATCGTGCAATCCCACGGCAAAACGAGGCTGGCGGAGGTCCTCCTGCCGTGATGAGTGTTCGCCGTGTGAACTAGGTATTTTCGTGGTACTGCGCCACGATGTTGGTACCGTGGTACTTGTTCATCGGTGTCGTATAGACTGTAGCCACCGCCACGCGGAGAGCCTCCGTCGTGCATCACGTGTGTGGTGCGAATACGATGGTAGAAGCAGCTATTCAGTTCGTCTTCACCAAACGCGCAAGCAAACAAGTGCTATGACTATCGATACCGGAGTGCGGAGTTAGTCCAATGCCACCGCCTCAACTTGTGCATACCGCCGCCCGTTATCGCTTAAGCAAGCAAGATGCAAGTGGCTAATGGAGGGGAAGCCTGCACCCGACATGGAACGACTGTATTCAGTCACACAACCAGCCATAACTCCCCCAACCTTGCAACCTGTGACATTGAGACACGAGGTGATGACCGACAACGAGAAGATGCATATACTACGGAATACGGTAACGGTACGTCAGGGTCAGAATATGACGCTCCCTTGTCGGACAAGCTTTGAATCGCTCGAATGTGTGTTGATGCAACGCTGCCGGCTAGTCCGGTCCCTCTCGCGTCACTGTTTCCAGCGATATTGATTGGGTTGATCATCGCCTGAAACATGCTTAGGGCGGGCTTTAAACGGGCGGGACATTACTGCGAAAGGTATAGATGACGGAACTGCAGGGACTGTGCAGCGCTGCATCTGCAGCTTGCATACGAGGAATGACGGTGGGGAAAAATAGTCGTGTTACTTTACTTAGCAGATTAGTAGGAATTTGGAAGACGGGCAGAACAAACCCCTCACCATCCGTGTTGTATAAAGGAGTCTGCGAAGGGCGCTCACAAAGGGACATCACTCTCAGCAAACTCCCAAAAGCAATTACTACTGCTACTAAGAAAAACTCCCTTTTCAGCCAAAATACTCGGTTCCTCAACTCTACTTCCCCAAACAACCACCAGGATGAAGTACACAGTCGCCCTCTCTGCCCTCGCTGCCAGCGCCATGGCATGGGAGCACAAGTCCTCTGCCTGCCCCAAGCCCGAGCACACGACGACCGTCACCGTCGGCCAACCCTCTGCGACACCCACCCCCCCCGCCAACGACAACGGCTACTTTGGCGTCATCTCGTCACGCTCTGCCTCGCCCATCCACCTTCTCCCCCTCACCGCACGCGGCAACAAGTTCTACCTCGGCGGCGGACCCCCCAGCTCCTACTGCCCGGTCGAGTCGGTCGGCGCGGCCAACTGCCCACCGGGCAACACCACGGTCCTCGCTGGCGGCGACCAGACCCTCTCTCTCGGTGTCGTGGTCCCCGGTGGCCAGCAGGTCTATGTTGCGCCTGACGGTGCGCTGAGCTACACCACTGCACACAGCGCGGCCATCCCCGCGGGCAGCGAACAAACAGGCTTCAGCCGGACTGCTCCCGCAAACGGCAATGCGTTCGGGTACCTCAACTTTGACACTGGCTTTGTTGCTTGCCCGGCTGCCAATGTCACAGCGGACGGATACCAGGTCTTTGGCCAGGTTGCCTCGGGTGCCACATTTGGTGACGACTGCTTGGGCTTCAGCGCACTTACCGTTGCGGTTGACCAGCCTGGTGCGTGGCAGTACTAGAGTCCTCGCCAACACCGGTTATGGTGAAGACGAGTTAGTAATGTCTATTTGATGTAATGGGATGGGATAATGAACAATCACGCGATGGACGGATATGTTTATGGTGTATATACGACGCTCCTTGATGACTTTAATATAATAGTAATGCTTTGGTAAACTCGTCGTTTGCTCATATCGTGCTCTCCAACACCGCTCTGATGCGATTGACTTGTTGCTCAGCCGTGCCTTTGACGCCCACCTGAACAGCCACGGTCTTGTCCCTGCTCTTCATTCCCTTTACGACTTCAACATCGGACTTTGCGACTCGAAGCGCATCAGCAATAACTTCCCTCACTGCCTTGTTTGCCTCGCCGTCTTTTGGTTGAGCCGCAACGCATATGTCGATACGCTCATCCGATACCGCTGCGATGCCCTCGCGCTCTGCACTGACCCCAGGCTTGACATGACACAGCAATTGGACAGTGCCTGTGCAGTCCCTCGCGGACTTTTTAGCCGCGAAACGGATCGCGGGAACGGACATGGACGGCGTCGGGATTAAGACGAGATGGAGCGCATGTGACTGCGATGACAGGTGTGTAAGAATGGTCAGCTGGCTTCGCGTCTAGGTAGGTGACGCGGCTGAACGTGCTGCCCAAAGCCGATTGCAGCCGACCAATCGCGCCCCCGAGTGGCTTGTCCAAACACCTGCCAACTGTAATGCCTGCGAGAACAGAACACGCACTGCATACCTACTCACAGTCTCCAGACACAGAAACATTTCTCCAGTTCTAGGGAATCCGAAAATGCCACGTTGCTACCGATGACCCCGTCCGACCTACCTAAAGCGACATGGCGGCAAGTTGCGGTAGTGGGGGCTTTCTTACGGTACCAGTCCCCTAAGATAAAGACTACTTCCCCTAAGTGATAAATTTGACGAGAGCCTCATCGATGTTTCCCTTAAGTACAGGTGTACACGATGGAACGAAAATTCAGCGACACACAATTACCTAAGAGCTTGCGCGCTCCAGAGATAAAAGCCAGACCGCCTGCACCCATTCTGTAGTTTTGTATTTCCATAATTTTTCCTCGATTCGATACCAGACCGAATTGAGTTGAGCGTGTATATTGTACGCATTGCGATATAAGCACCTTTTCTGCACTGCTAGCTAAGCCTGTCACTTTGATAATCGCTATAGAGGTTAATCACAAAAAGGTAAGAGATGACAGCAGTTGCTTTTTATGACGTGGTTCGCAATGTGGTGGTTGGTTATCTGGAAGTCGCACTTCTGCGACCAACGACGCACAAACAAAGCCCTTTCTCTGCACCAGCTCGTGCAACAAATCCGTTTGCGAATAACAACACTAACACCATTCACAGCACAATGACTTCCGCACCCACAATACAGCCCAAGTTCCTGCCAAACAGGCATGACCTAGGCATCGTCGCAGTCGGCTTCAGCGGCGGCCAGGTAAGCCAGCCTTCCCACCGCACCCATCTTACCTAGACCAAACAACCAACAATGCATCCCACCAGCCCAAAGCCGGCGTCGATGCCGCCCCCATGGCCCTCATTGAAAACGGCCTCATCAAGCAACTGGAAGAAGACCTGGAATTCAAAGTCACCTACGACGGCCAAGTGCACAACTACACGGAGCTGCAACCCTCCGACGACCCAGACTACCGCGGCATGAAGCGACCAAAGTTCGCCTCGGCAGTCACAAAGCAAGTCAGCGATCAAGTCTACGCTCACGCCTCTTCGGGAAAATTGGTGCTGACGCTCGGTGGTGACCACTCGATTGCCATCGGCACCGTTTCTGGTACCGCCAAGGCTGTAAGGGAGAGACTGGGCAAGGACATTGCGGTTATTTGGGTCGACGCACATGCCGATATTAACACGCCTGAGACGAGCGATTCAGGCAACATTCATGGTATGCCCGTGTCGTTCTTGACGGGACTGGCGACGGAGGAGCGGGAAGATGTGTTTGGCTGGATTAAGGAGGAGCACAGGTTGAGCACGAAGAAACTGGTTTACATTGGTGAGTTCCTTTTCCCTGGTATGGAGTGCATGTGAGATGAGAGACTGACACCTTGCAGGTCTTCGGGATATTGATCGGGGAGAGAAGAAGATTCTGAGGGACCATGGCATCAAGGCCTTTTCCATGCACGACATCGATAGGCACGGTATCGGCAAAGTCATGGATATGGCGTTGGGTTGGATTGGCAGCGACACGCCCATCCATCTCTCGTTTGACGTCGACGCTCTCGACCCCATGTGGGCGCCTAGCACTGGTACTCCTGTCCGCGGCGGTCTGACTCTCCGCGAGGGTGACTTCATCGCCGAGTGTGTTGCCGAGACTGGTCAGCTCATCGCATTGGATCTCGTCGAGGTCAACCCCAGTCTTGACGCTGAGGGTGCTGGAGACACGGTCCGCGCGGGTGTTTCGATTGTTCGTTGCGCGCTTGGTGATACGCTTTTGTAAGCTTGTTTTCGATTTGTGGAGTTTTGTAGGCTTTTGATTAGGGGGATAGACATAGATGGTACTCGTAGATGATTAGTTACGCAAGTTCACATCGCATTCGTATTAGCCGTCGCCAGGTAGATGTAGACGCTGGCATGGCAACTACTAAGATATCCACGAGAGCATTCGCGGATTTGATAAACGTGCAGGGTACCTACATCTACATTGGTGATGTTGATAGTTCTCTTTGTGGCTTATTGTCGCAGTCTGTCCTGCTTGCTTGCGGAATGTACTTGTCAGTGTGGGAGTGCATGTGTCAGTGATAAACAATAGTGAGGCAACTACCAGGACAGCTACAGGAACAATCGAAGGTATAATAGATATGCAGGGCAACTACTTCCACGTAAAAAATAAAAGTAGAAGGCTTTATGTACTGTTGTCGTAGTCTGTCCTGCTTGCTTTCGGCGTGTGCTTGTCAGTATAGAAGTGTATATGTTAGCGATAAACATCAGTAAGGCAACTACTATAAGAACTACGGGAACAATCGAAGGTCCGATAGGTATACAGGGCAACTACTTCTATGTTGAACATGCGAGTAGAAGACCTTACTGCCTGTTGTCGTAGTTACTCCTGCTAATATCCAGGTGTTCGGATCAATTCCGAACACAGCAGGTAAGAGCTCTAGATCACACTTCCTGTGAAATGCAATTGCAAGTAAGTAATGAAGCAGCTGCGCAGCAGTGGCTGCCAGCTCTAGAGACGTGATATACTGATTTCTGCCCGTGGTGTTTTCTCTTCTCTTCTTCAGCTAAAGGCGACGGAACAAAGGTATGTCAACGTTTCTCTCCCTTCACTACCCATACCCTATCAAGCAAGATACACTACATCAAAACGTTAATGCTGCTTCAAAATGCTGATTTGTACAATGTTGTTGTAGCTAGTTCCAACTTAAGATGTCTGCTTGCATTTGCAACTGCAGTTCGGGCCTATGGGCCACTATAGGAATCAATCTTGCCAGTAGTGGCATTTTCTTGTGTCTGTGCCTTTTAGGCACAGCTGTCTTGGGCTGGCGGTTCGGCCTAAGTTGGCCTTGGGAGAAGGCCAAGAGAGAGGCCTTGGTGGAGGACCTCGAGGCTGCCAACTCGAGGTTGGCAAACAATGTGGCGCGGAGTAGGCGGGAGGAGGTGGAGGGGAGGTTGGGGCGGGAGGTGGTGATGTCGGGCCTTGCCGAAGAGCGGCATGAAGGGGACGCCGCCCGGCTAGAGAAGAAGATCTCTGATCTTCGAAAAGAGTTGGAAGAGGCGAAAGCCATGGGCTTTGTCTCGGCATCCGGGCTTGGGGCCGCTGGCCCATCGACCCTCCGAAAGCGCAATCCGTCCTGAGTATATTTTCCCTTCATCGCATGTATCACCTATCTTTTGATCCCTTATATCTTTTACCATTTCCCTTTCATAACATGTAACACTTTTTTTCTGTATCCCTTACGTCTCTTACTATTGTCACTCTTATGGGCCTTGTCCCCCACCTCCCCGCGGTTAGGCCTGGGGCCACTCCCAGGGATGAAAGGGAGTGGTGCAAACGGGGGCTATTCTTACTCACTATCTACGATACATCCAAGAGCGCAGCTCGTCTCAGCTCGTACCTCACTTCTTCCGGTTTGGCGAAGACATTCAGAATACGCAATCAGCAGCTGAACCACCTTTCTCGGCCTTCGCCACCCACCATGTCAACTCCTGAGGCTACAAACCTTCCGGGAAAGCTCCTCCTCACAGGCGTTGTCGTCTTCAGCCATGGCCCGTGCTTGAACACTCAACGCTTCTCAGCGACCATGTCGTCTCGAAGTAGCAGACTTTTAAATCTGTACCAGCAGCGAAAGCACATCAAATGAGCTGTGGAAGAATGCAATGTAGCTTCATACCTGGTCAAAGCCTTCATTACCTCACTCCCGCGACCACCGCAACCACATCCACAGCGCTCTTCCAATGGCTCACACGCAACTCAAACTGTTCGTACAACCAACACTCCCAGTGCCTTTGTACCACAGCCACAACAACCTCCAGCTGTTTCACTGGCTCGCATGCAAGTCGCACCATCCATACCAACAGTCGGTATCGCGCATTGACATCCAAATGCTTCCGGTACTGACGCTGCTGGCTGCTGTCTGGCACACAGTCGTTGCAAAGCCTTCACACTTACTCTGGTCAATACATCAGAAACCAAGACTTCATTCCAAAAACCCTGGTACGAGATCGGTGCTCATCTCTGGATCATGTATGTAATCACTAGATAGAATAGGTAGCATAGATAGTATAGGTAGCTCGTACCATCCAAAAAAGACCAACAAGATTCTCGTCCAGTCACTTCTCGCTTACCTTCATGTGATTGAACCCGTGCATGCACTTTACCTTGGTACAAAGCCTCTCTTTGCTGACCCAAGCGACCGTGAACCGTGGTTTCACTAGTGCGCTTTCATTAGATGTACAAAATCTTCCTCATGTTTTCTTAATCTCCACGTATCTCCTAGTTTCTCCAAATCCTTTCAGCTGTACTGGAATATTGCCATTATGCCAACCTTCAGTCTAGGCCGTCTAGGTCGTTTCCAAGTATCTCGTCTTCCTCCTCCAAACACCTCGTCGCCAATAAAGCAGCATGATTTACCTTCCAGTCCTCCACCAGAGTACACCAAAATTGCCGAAATTGAGACCGAGTTCCACGCTCCATCGCAAGCTCAGCCACCAGAATGCAAGATAGAGCAGTTGCGTCGGTTCCTTATCGAGATTGTTGCGATTACTCTTGGCGCCAACTTCGACGAGCTGAACGCAGCTCTCCACGACATTCCCATACCAACCGGCACGAACACAATCCTTTGCGACGGCGAGCGCGCAAATCTCCTCTCCCTGTCCAGCCTCGTCCACAAGGTCCACAAGCGCTTCCTAGACAATGAAAAGACGAGGATAGATCGAAAGGACGAAGAGAAGATCCTCGCAGCCATCACCAAACCTGTGGATAGCCTCAACCCAGCAGGCAACTTCACAATACCTTGGTACTCTTTGGACATGATAGGATGGTACGGCGAAGAAGTGCGATCGCCGTCTGGCACATCCTGGGCATCTACCATCCCCGGATTTTGGGAGAAAGCCCCATACCGGTATTCATCTAATAACAAAGAGCCATTCGAAGACAGTATGAGGGCATTCCGCCATATCTTCGACTCTATGGCGCCTGACGACAGGGTACACGGCATACTACGCGAAGCATGGGACGATTCACGGAGACGTTGTGGCTTGGGTGATTTAGGCCCTCCGGGTATGTGTTGGCCGCTGAGGGGGGGATATCAGGACATGGGAGAATCGCTACAGAAGATGACGCAGTTGAAGCCTCGAGTTGGCGTTGGTAGGTTGCGAATAGGTCCGTAGGTATCGTATCTTCCACTGGCAACATACTTCCTACCAATGACATAAGGAACAATCATCAGCTTCTCATGCCTGCAAATACGTCTCTCCATTCATCCGTCTGCCGAGTTCCGAAGGAGTGTTTGAGTTAACATGTTTTACAAGCGAGTGACGCGTACAAGCGAGTGACGCACCCCACCAACTTTGCGCACCTCTACACGCGTATATCTCAACCACCTTACAAGATAATATATAGATATTAATAGAGCAGATTAA